TCAAGAATGGGTGATTTTCTAAAAGATCTGCTCTAGGAATTATTTTGGGGAAGTTCTATGGCCTGCATTAGACAGGAGGTCAGACTAGATGATCCCAGTGATCTATGAATTTAGAGGAAATAACCTTTTCAGTTTCTGCTCTGCAGCAAGCTAGGATATATTAATTGGGAACTTACACCACATGCAGGTACTTGATGGGGAGTTCAGTGAATATAACAAGGAAGGAAACAACAAAGTGTGTTTCAATCTTCATAAAGGAAACATGGCCAAAGAGCTCAAACGCATGTTCTTCAGAGAGAGGTGCCCTGGAATTACATCACGCTTTGGCAATAAATCTCCAGGATAATCTTGGAAACAGGACATTTCATCTCCATGGAAACAGTTAAATCTTTTAAAGAATATTAATAATAAGCATTAGATCCAAAACCTTCCCCCTTCTTGATGGGAATGGAAGGCATCCCGAAGTACTGCATGGGATGAGGCCGGGAGACTATGTAGAGAGGCTGGATTTCTCCATGTGGTACAGAACACAACTCCATGGTGGTACCCAGGGGTGTGGTGCACAGTTGCTCTGTGTGAGGAAGGCAGGCAGGAGACAGGGCAGATACGTTGATCCTCCACCCCGCAGTGGAATGGCACAAGCACAGAAGAGGTCACTGCAGCCCTTAGATTGGAGAAGTGGCTGCAAAGTGGATACACTGTAGCTCTGCTGCCTTCTCCTCTCCCATTGTGCCTGTAGAGATTCACAGCCCGTAGCTGAGTTATTTGATGTAGGAAGGCAGGTAGGAGGTGGGCATTGGGGCTTATATGGGGTTTCAGCTTCAAAAGGCTTTACTGACATTAAAACATCTTCAGCATCCCTGTGAAGTGGGTGACTGATACTCTGCCTACTTTACAGCTGGGAAAACAGAAGCTGTGTGCTTTAGACAGAAAGGTGCGGACTCAGGAGGTCTGGGTTCAGTTTCTGATTCTGCTACAGACTCTCTATTTGATCTTGGGCAAGTTTCTTACCCTCTCTGAAACTGAGTTGCCTATCTGTAAAATGGGGCTAATGACACTTCCTTTCCCTCATCTTTTGTCTTGTCTACTTAGGGCTTGTTTACACTTAAAATGCTACAGCCCTACAGTTGCACTGCTGCACTTACACCCAGGGCTTTGGAGCTGTGCTCCAGCTCCACTCCAGCTCCAGGCAAAAACCTGCAGCTCCACTGCTCCGGAGCTGCTCCGTGCTCCAGCTCCGGGCTCCGCTCCAAAGCCCTGCCTGCACCACTGTTGTGCTTCAGTTATGGAAGGGGCTTCTCCTGTCAGCATAGGTAATCCACATCCCCGAGAGGCGGTAGCAAGGTCGACGGAAGAATTCTTCCGTCAGTTTAGCACTGTCTGCATGGGGATTTAGGTCAGCTTAAGTACATCACTCTGGGATGTGGATTTTTCACACCTCTGACCGATGTAGTTAAACTGACCGAATTGTCTAGTGTAGACCAGGCTTCGGACTGTAAGATCTTCAGAATAGTTCAGGTCTCTTAGTATGTTTGTGCAGTGTTTAGTACAATGGGAACATGATCCTGGTTAGTACCTCTAGCCTCTACTGCAAAACTTCTCTAAGCCAGCAGAGGGAGCCAGAGTGAGGCTGAGAGTTCTTGGTTCTTGGTTCATTATTACTAGACCTCTATGCAGAATCAATATACACCGTAAAAACAAACAATGGTTCTAGCCTGGAAAACAGAGTTAATATAAAATTATAGCATTCTGCTGGCAATAATTCACTCCATACCTCCATGAAGTTTACAGGGAACTTATCATGTAAACAGTAAAGACAGCCAATGTCAACTCTTTTGAAGAAATGTTTATTTAACAACTGAATACATGCTAAAAGGAATAATTTACAGCAGCAGTTTCATTACATTTTTCTCTCCAGTTTTCTAGTTCCCGTCTGAATTGCAGTGATAAATACGGAAGTAGAATTATTTACTACCCAGTGAGGAATGTGCTTACAAAGTGGCACATAACTTTGGCACCGAAATAGCAAATAAACCACCCTATAAACTGTGTGACAAAACCTTGCATTTTAGTCTTGTGTTGAACACATTGAAATGGAGTACCTCTAGATAGCAGTACTTTATACTGTACCTCCTTACCCTAGTCAAAAATATTTACATCTCTTTTGGCTAATGTGTAGGTAGCAAAAACTGAACTATTAAACACATACCATTGATATTCACTAAATAATACATAAAAAAGGATCCGTAAATGCGCATTCACATGCATTTTAATTTTTTTTTTTTTACATAGTGACTTCATTTGGGCCATCAAAGGTTAACTCTGTTCTGCAAATATGCAGTTTCTTAGCTTGATACTGTAGTTTAACATAACCATACAGTCATTATGAGCTATTGAACTCCCATCTGCAGCGGTCCATGCAAATGCCAAGGGTAGTTTAGTAAAACAATATAAAAAAAAATTCTTGCAAATTTCTATCTTTAAACACATTTCAATAGTGTTTCCTGGTTATAAACAAAATCCTTTATTTCTCTCCACCTTAAATATAACCTTCTACTTGGTTCACCTAAAGCTTGGAACTGGAGGTTTAGCGATGTTTTTGTTGGTGATTTAAAGTGATGGTTTCCTTTTATTTGCAACAGTGTGACATATTAAGAAAAAATACAAACAGGATGTGTGAGCTATACCGAAATTGTAGGTCATCCTTCTATGCACAAATTTGTCACAGCCGATGGTCTTTGAAATCAGTTCATTTAAAAGAATATCAGATGCTGTTGTAACTCATACAAATTCCTGTTTGAGTGCACTCTGGTTAACATCAACCTGAAAATCAACTGTTTCATCTTTGGGTCTGATCCTTTCAGCCTTTCCTTATGTGAGTAGATGCACAGACTTCAGCGGACTGATTATGTCAAGAAGGAGTGTACGTGTACGTTGAAATCTGCAGGGGCTGACCCTTTTATTTGTATAGTTAAACATTTATCATATGGCAAAACCTCATGGCTGCTGTAATTTTGCTCTTACAGAATGAATTATGTTTTACAGAGAGGTTTTTTTTCTGTGAAGGAATGCCAGTTTTCAAATGTAATCTCTAATTAATCTTCTTTTCAATAGGCTGTTATAAAAGGGAACACAGTTGAGGGGAAAATAATAAGTGACAGTAACCATTAAACATACAAAGCAGCAGATTGGATAATTTGGGGCCCATTGAAATCAGAGCCTTTCCTTTGATTTCAGTGGGCTTTGGAAGTCCTCTTTGCTAAAAGGGAAAACATTTAAAATGATTTTAATGACTTGGTGATACAAAGTAGCCTTAATAGGCTGAACAATGATCTATAAGTACAACAAAATACTTCAGCTGATAAGCTGCGATGAATTTTAAACACTTAGCTGAGAAATTAATGCTCATGTAGGGTCCTGATACAAGAGAGCTTGTAAGCACATGCTTAAACATGTGCTTAAGTTCATCATATTCAACACAGCATTTGCACATGTTGCTTAATTTTAAGCATGCTTAAGTCCCATAGAAGTCAAGTTAAGCATATACTTCAGTGCTATGCTGAAAAGAGAAGGACTTACGTGCATGCTTTCAAGTTAAACACGTCATTTCTTTGCTGAATCTGGGACTTAGAACCTGATCCTGCATCATTTAATGGAGTTTTGCCACTAAGTTAAATGGTAGCAAATTTGGATGCTTTAGTGCATTTAGATCCCATGAGCCCTCCATGTTCACAACATCTCTGAAACTGATTAAAGTTCCACACAGAGGGCTTGTAGGATTGGGACCTTAATGAAAACCTCATTGCTACAGATGTTAGAAACTATACTTCACTAATTAGGAAGAAGAGTTGTGGTTTTTTGTTTTGTTTTGTTTTTTATTGAGTGGTAAAGAGACTTGGATCACATTGTGAGAGAGGCTGTGCCACAGCAGGTTGTGTTGCACTGTATGCACGAATGCAGATAATATTGTGAATCATAAATGCAGCAAGTTGCAGTGAATAACAGTAAAAGAGGCTGGTTATTAACCTCAGAACAAAGGGCACCCTTTTATAAAGCTGTTATAGCAAACCAAGGATATCACATGGGCTCTAGTAATCTCCTCCTCACCGACATGAATCGAAGTTATGCATATGCCACCAGGCGTTTGCAGACCATAGTGAGGTGAGATATGGGAGAGAGGACAGCTAATAATGGACTTCAGCAAAATTGGGACATATCTATACCGGGGTGGACCAAAACCATTATTCATAGATCCTTAAAATGGAGATTCTTATAGTACAATTACACTGTACCTGACTTTATCCTGCAGCCCCGTTGAATATATAGTGGTCCAAGTTCTCCACTGCTGTAACCTCATATACTTCAATATGCCAATTTACAACAGCAGGGGACTCAACCCACATGTGAAATGGACCCCTAGGGCCCCATGCAGAGAGGCCGCATAAGGGCCTAGGAATCAATTTTGGACAATATCCTACCACTGAGTTCTGAGTGAAGCTCCTTCTGAACTGAACAGGAGTTTTGCTCATGGATTAATGGCTGTGTATGAGCTACAGTATTTAGATGATTTTCTCTTCATTGGTTCAATCTATTCGTATCAAGATATTATACAAGCTGAATTTTTTCATATACACCGGACCCTTCCTAGAACGTGCGTCTATATAGTGCGATTTCGCATATATCGCAGTCGCGGCCATGGATCCCAAATTTAATTACTTTAATTGCAATTAATTTTAACGCGGTCCCTGCGTTAACACGGTACCGCGCATGGATCCCAAATCCCACGTTCTAGTGCGTGTCCGGTGTACTATATTTGGGGGAGGGGGAGAATCCCAAAACTTCCATGCTATACAGAGACTTTCATGTTAAATAGCGTAGAAGTTACTTGTCAGATAGAATGTCAGGGTAGAGGCAAGGGGGTTAGCTGCAGTGTTTCTGCCATGAAAGAATTTCCAAACAAGAGAATAAAGCAGCTTGTCATTGGCTGTTCCCCACCCCCCCCCTTTAAACCAATAATTAGAAAGTACAATATTTCTAAGACAAAAAGCCTATTCTATTTTAGAAAAGAGCTAACGTTTACTGCATATTCGTCATGGTACATTTAAATTATAGTTTTAATAAAATACATCTTTAAATCAAAGATGAAAGAAGTCATCAGTAGTAGGCCAGTGTACTCCACTCTTTTTTCTTTTTTCCCCTCTGGATGCTGGCTGGTTCATGCTGTTCAGGTTTCCACAGGCCATCTCATTCAGTATTGTTTTTACCTTTCCAGTACATATAAGCAAGAGACCTGGTAGGCCATAAAATAAAAAAGCCTTGCATCCATCTAAATGTTGGGATGTTGATCAGCTTAGCTAGTCCATGCAGTTTTTTCAGTTACGTTCAGGAAAAGTAGCGCAGCTGATGAAAGGTGGGTTCTGTTTTACTTTCTTTTTAAATGGCAGCATAAAACATGATACTTTTCTACCTTGAGCAAAGGAGAAAGCAAAACCTTTCTGATGAACTCTTTGCAGAACTCGTTGAGCAGTAAGCTAGGTCCAGGGTGAGTTTTCATCCTTGAAACTCTGTCTGGGGATTGGTGGGGGAAGGTCTGCTAGGAAACTTAGAATTTTATTTTATTTAAACCTGGTGGAAATTGTATGAACTTCCCACCCTTGTAAACATCCACATAATGCCATGAAAAAGTTCATGTATATTGCATTTTTTTCCAGTTATCTGTCTATACAAGTTTTTACTTGGATGAGGTTCCTAGAGGTAATGCAGCTCAGACACTCCGTGGTGCCCTCTCAAATTCGTGGGTCCTCCTGTTCCTACCTTTCTTATTTTCTTGTAGGTGCTTCCACTTATTAGTATTCACCTGGGCGTTGGCGGGTCTTTGCCGACGTTGTTTGCGGTCCCTTTTCCAAACCTGTTCGCAGAACTCATCCATTGTATTGAGGTTGGGGTGGTTGATTAACTGCATGAAGTCTCTATACCAGACTTTCTGACTAGGGGTCATGCTGTTGGAAATCTCTTTGGCCTTGGAGCCATCACCATCGTCTTCCTTATGAAGCAGCTCTTCCAGGTGTTCAGTATCAATTACTTCCAGAGTCACTTTGAGCAGAGTTTGCATGAAGCCATGCTCCACGGCATGACAAAAGTAAATGCCGGAGTCTTTCCGCTGAAGGGTGCGTAGCAGAAGGCCTTGTTCTGTCCTGATGAAATGATCATCCACTTTTATCTGTGTTGGAGGAAAGGAAACATTTCAACAATTATCTCTTATAAATGTTCAAAACTATTCCCTAACCATCCCTAGTTCCCTGGCATGTTACAGGAAAACTTGGCATAAAAAAGCATATTAAGGGGAAAGAGCACCTGGTCCCTCTGTAGCTGTGAAAAGTTCCACAAACACATGGAAACACTATGGATCTGCTGCTCAGAAAGCCTGGGAGGAAGAGAGTTTATTCCACAATCCTGTGTGCCATGGAGCTCTGTGTGCAGTGGAACCTCTGTTAGTGGGGTTTGTGAGCAGGCTATGGGAGATGCAAACTGTGCAGAATCAACAGACCTACCATGGATGATACTAGCCACCATGGACCAGGTGCACCATGGTCCCTACTCTATGCCATTCTTCCAGGTTGGGAAGATGAAATCTAACCCTTTAGCCCCCACCCTGGCGCTCCCTAGTACAATGCCCTCAGGCAGAGGGAAGCATGCTGCTAGAAGAGAGGAAGGTATGAGAAAAGAACTAGATATGAAGCCTAAAATTACAAAGTACAATAAGCAGGCTTGCAAAAACTCACATTTGTGCAAGTGATTCAAATAGGTGTACAATTTGTGTGTATGTGTATGTGCGCGCGCAGGCAAATGTACATGTGCCCATGCAGCTGTTAGAGAAAGTGCATCACACCCATTGTGTCATCCACTAAAACTGGATTCTAAAGAATAAAATACTTAACCAGCTAAGCAAACAAAGCAAATCAAACAATATAAAGCTCCTAATGTGACCAGATAGTTAGCATGCAGTTTGAAAACATATAGTCCTTGGCTTCCTTGTTTGTCTCAGGTTCTAAGTTGCCTATAATTTTCATTCTTCAAAAAAATGCAATGGAAGACATTATTTTTGTTCTCCAGCTTCAGGCAGAGCTGTCTAGCCAGCAGGGTAAAGGTTATTCCCTTAAAAATGATGTGATGATATGATCTTACTGGCTAAGAGGATGTCTGTGTTTCTACTAATCCCCTTGAGCACCTGGGGGTACTATATATATGAAGCAATGTAATGTAGGTAACTACAGAAGGAGAAAAAACTCACTTTAAAAATTTCAGTGTCGTGTAGGAAGGGTTAGTCAACTCTTTGCCTCTGTGGACATTTCTTTAGGTGTGAAAAATGATATATTGAGCACCATAGTTGTTTGTGAAAAAGCAAACTGCCAATGTAATGGTCTCCATAAAGGTAACTGTTTTGAGATTCTTGGATTGTATGTGTTATGGAGGTCCAAACTAATAGTAATGCAGTATTAATTATTATTTATTATTATTATTAATAATAAATAATTATTATTCAGAAAGCTTCACAATTACTGTTATGTAGTTTGGATTCAGTGTCCTGCTTTCTCTAATCATTTCTATTATGTATTAATATAGGAGAGCCAAAGAGAAGCCCAGCAAATGTTGAGAAGGTTGGAATGGGTACAGTTTGAACCCCAGCCTCCTGGTGAAATGTTGTATAGGAACACAATGAAGTATAGGTGGAATTCACCCCTCTGGAGAGGGCAAGTACGAGGCCGCTTCACCATCTTAGTACCAATGAAGCCTTATTGGATGGTTTAAGTGGGGTTTAGGTGTGAACATGCTTTGTGCTTGCCCTCTTCACAGGGGTGGATTTCACCCTCTCAGGAACGTATCTGACTGGAAAAACCTAGAGTGTGGTGAATGCACAAGCAATGAGTGTTAGGAATCTGCAATATCTTGAAAGGTACTGGTGCCTTCAAGAGGGGGTGTCTCCGAAATGAAAACAAAGAGACAAAGTTCATCTCCTGATCTGAGCTCTTCCAAGGCTCAAGAGGGTTCAAAGCCAGGATGTCTGTTCAGCCCCATCTTGAGCTAGAAATGTCTGCAGTGAGGATTGCAGAAGGAGGGATTTGGGACGGCACTTTGGTCATTTAGGACAAGCTATTTGGCAGGAGGGAAGAGACTGTGAAGGTTTCCTGTTGAGAAGCCAGAACAATCTTTTGAGGATTCATGGAATGAGGACAGCCTGGGGTAATAGAAGAGATGAGATATCTTGTTAAAGTGGGCTGAGAGACCGGGAAAGAGGCAAGGCTCCATTTGCTAATTAAAACAAAGGCTGGTCTTGTTTAGGTAAAGGGCTGGAATTCAGGTGGATTGTTATCTTCAAGAACTCAAGGAGGACAGGTGAGGTTTCAGAGGCCTGGAGAAAGGCAAACATAGTATCTAGCTTTAAAAAGGGGAACAAAAAGGACCCAGGGAATTATAAACGCAACTCTGATGCCTTGAAAGATTCTGGAACAAATGATTAAATAATCAGTTTGCAAGAACTTACAGGATAATAGAGTTAGAAGTAATAGCCAACATGGATTTGTCAAGAACAAATCATGCCAAACCCAACCTGTTTTCCTCCTATGACAGGGTTGCTGGCTTAGTAGATAGAGGGTAAGCTATAAACGTGATATATCTTGTTGTGGGGGTTTTTTTTTAGTATGGCTTTTGACACAGTCCCACATAATATTCTCATAAGCAAAGTAATGAAATGTGGTCTAGATAAAATTACTAAAATGTTGGTAGAAAAACTGCTTAAAAGACCATACTCAAAGGTTAGTTATCAGTGGTTCACTGTCAAATTGTGAGCGCATATCTGGAATCCCAGAGGGGTCTGTCCTGGATCTGATACTAGTCAATATTTTCTTTAATGACACGGATAATGGAGTGGAGAGTAGGCTTATAAAATTTGCGAATGACGACACCAAGCTGGAAGGGGTTGCAAGCACTTTGGAGGGCAAAATTGGAATTCAAAACAACTTTGACAAATTGGATAATTGGTCTAAAATTAACAAGATGAAATTCAATAATGACAAGTGCAAAGTTCTACACTTAGCAAGAAAAAGTTAAATGTACAACTACCAAATGGAGACTAACCGTCTAGGCAGTAGTACTGATGAAAAGAATCTGGGGGTTACAGTGGATCACAAACTGAATGAGTCTGAAGTGTGAAGTTGTGGCAAAAAAATGCAAATATCATTCTGGAATATATTAACCAAAGTGTCATATTTGAGACACAGTAGGTAACTCTCTTGCGCTAGTAGGCATTGGTGAGTTCTCAACTAGAGTACTGTGTCCAGTTCTGAGTGCCACACTTTAAGAAAGACGAGGACAAATTGAGAGAATCCACAGGAGAGCAACAAAAATGATACAGGTTTCGAAAACCTGGCCTATGAGGAAAGGATTAAAAAAACTGGGCATGTTTAGTCTTCAGAAAAGAAGATGAGGGGAACCTGATAACAGTCTTCAAATATGGTAAGGGCTGTTATAAAGGGGATGGTGATCAATTGTTCTTGATATCTACTGAAGGTACCACAAGAAGTAATCAGCTTAAACTGCAGCAAGGGAGATTTAGGTTAGATAATACAAAAAAAAATCTAACTTTTAAGGATAGTTAAGCACTGGAATAAGCTTCTAATGAAAGTTGTGGAGTCCCCATCACCAGAGATTTTTAAGATCCAGTTAGACAGCCATCTATCAAGGATGGTCTAGATATACTTGATCCTGCCTCAGTGCAGGGAGCTGGACTAGATGACCTCTCAAGGTCCCGTCCAGCCCTATATTTCTATGATTCTATATTGCATGCTGTGATGCTGTATGATTGAAACACGACCATTTATATCATTAATATTGCCACTGTTCGACAATTGCAACAAATCTGCTGCAAAGTATGTCATGTAAGGTATCAATGGACAAGTTACAATCTATCAAATATGATTATCCCGTTTTAATCCATGTAACATCACTGTATCTGAAGTTATGCATATTGACTATATAGCTGTATTTCAAAAGTATTTGCTCTTGGTATAACACCCACAAGGAAGTTTACATCCAATCTAGCCAGCACATTGTGAATGGACCATTCAAGTTGATGGCCCATTAAAGAACACTTAACTCTCTCATAGAAGAAGCTTGTCTCCACCCAGTGAGCTTTCCTGTGGACGCTTTAGCCAGAATATTATGGCTGATCCTAAGAGTCATCAAGCCACGTAAGGACATGCTCATGTGAATTTTGTGCCTGTACTTTTCCACAAACCAAGACTGAGAGCACCCCCTCCACGTGGGAGAAGGTATAAAGGACCTGAAAGCATCTCTATTTTGCCTCTTTCCTGCTCTGATCTCTGGACTATGGATTTACACTAAAAGGAGCATATTGACTACGGACTGAGGATCAGAGACTGTACAAGCCAACCTGATCCAAGAACTTTGCAATGATTGTGAGTATATGATTTTTTTGACCATTTTAACTCTCCCCTCTTTCTTTTCTCTTATAAATAAACCTTTAGATATTAGGTACTAAAGGATTGGCAATAGCATGATTATTGGGTAAGATCTGAGTTATTGACCTGGCTATGTGGCTGATCTCTATGTGATGAAATTGGTTTTCAGAAACTACTCATCATAGAGTCCAGTGTCTGGGTGATGAGACACAGTCTGGAATGCCTAAGGAGACTGCATTTTTGACTTCTTTTTAACCAGTGTGGTGAGATAAAAGTTTACTTTTGTTACTGGCTTGGTATAAGCTCATGATAGAATAACCACCAGTTTGGGGGTGAGTCCGCCCTATTTCTCAGCAGTTTGTCCTGAATCTGGTATTCGCAGCTGTGACTCACTGGGGCATGGTGACACATGTATCTGAGTTCATGCTACCGTACCTCTTCTTTTCGGTCCTCATTTTGCTTCTGGAATTGCCAGTAAACTAGAGCACGCTGAGATTTTGGACTGCACTCCAAGAAAGTGCTGCTGTTCTCTACTCCGTAGATAATCTTTTCTTCCAGACTCTGCCCACTTGGGTTATCTATAAGGCAAGAAATAAGAAATAAAAGCCAATGCAAAAGAAAATGGTCAGCAAAGAAAATCCTAATTGTCATATTTATTTGCTCTTTTGGTAAATAGTTTCACTGCTCCATCTTGGAAAGATATTCCAGATTAGTAGATTGGTATACGCGGCAACAATTAACCTGATTCTCCACAACTGAGCACCTTTCACAGATATTTACACTTGTGTCTGGAATAAGAAAGCTTGTTGTGTTTGTATTGAGAGCTATAGCACTGAATTGCAACATAATCTATGGTATATAAGGATGCCAACATTTTGTGCCCACTTTGCATGGGTGTAAATGACTATACAAGTTCCCCAGACAGTGGAGAATCAGATGCGAAGACTGAATTAGAACTGGCTGTAAAATTTACAGCAAACAGCACTTGCACTCTGAAAATCAAGTCCCCTTATGGTGTCTCGAGTAGGCACCCTAAATCAATATCAGTTCAGAAAATCTCAAAGTTCCTGTCTACACAAATATCACTGCATTTTTTTTTTAGTCGAGCCAAATGTAAAAACCTCAACATTTGAAGTTAAGAAATTTCACTGTGAATATTTTGCACAACCCTAGTTTTTAGACATCAAGAAAAAACATATAGGTCACGACAAGCATTTTTTATGACAAAACCTATGCAATGAGAACATTTGGGGTGTAGTTTTAGAATGTCTATAATGATGCCTCTTGGGCTTTATGATCGCAATTCTTTGGAGCAAAGTAATAAAACATGAGGCTTTTTACAAGTACTAATAATGTGTTTAGATTATATAGAATTGCAGTTTGTTGCAGCTGTTAATGACCAGGAATAATGTTTTTGAGGAAACAATCTTCAGTTAATCATTTCCTCTGGTGGTATAATTTATGGAAATGTAATGAGACGAATAAAACAGACATTATGGGGGGCGGGAGAAAGAGAAAAGTTAAATAAATTACTTCCTTTTGTAACAACAATACTCAATGATATCCACCAACTTGCTGGAAATATCACATTGCTATAGGACTTATATAGCATTTGAGTCTCCTCCAATACCACAGAGGCAGTAAGGCATCATATTTCAATGCTCCTCTGTAGCTCTTTAAAATGTTATGGATTTAAGCGGCAATAGTACAATCATAATGGAGAATATATGGGGAGAAAGGGATTGATAAGCTATTTAACACTGTTGATCTCATGGGGTTTCCTGGCTTTTTTGCCATTATTTGTGGTGGTTTCCATATTACCCCTTTGATCTTTAGTATAGGAAATCTTTAAAGAATCTGATTTTTTTTTTAACCAGGGAAGAATGTATAATTAAAAACCTCTGCAGAGCAATCCTATGTCAAGAGTTGTTTGATTTCACAATGTCTTTATCATATTGGCTGTTTTATTTAGCAAACACAGTCTGTTTGATGAACTGCTGAGCCAAAGGGAAGAAAGAAAACCATGGTCATGGCTTATGTTGATACTAGTAATCATATGTTTTTCTTTAATGACATTCAGCCCTCAAAATCTAAGTGGGGTAGGAGAGGAATTGGTGCCTACCTAACTCTTAGTAACGAAACATCAAATGGTCAATAAACACTAAATAGCTAGAAAGTGTATTGCTTTGCTTTTCTCCGCTGGATTGTGAACCTTTAGAGCAAGCAAGTGGGGTGCTATGTAAATACACGAGTGAGTGAAGCAACTTTTTGGCTTCATCTGGAAACTGCAGCATTATGGAGACTGTCAGATGAGCATTGGGCTGGAGTGGTGGGGGATCACGATGCGAGAAAGCAAAGAAAGGGAAGGAGTGGGAAAATCGAAAGCAGCCAAAAATACTGTTGTAGAGCATTGGGTTGAACCTGGGAGAAGTAGGGAAATGATGGAAATGTCAAGAAAGGGGAGGAATGGGTAGTGTGTGAATGACCCTGTGTGTATAAGTGGAAATAGTGGGATGAAACTTATCAGAGGAAAACTTAGGCTGAATATTAGGAAAAAAAGACTAATGGTGAGATCTGCTCTAGACTGTGGTAAACCTTCAGTGAAGGAAGCCCAATCACTGAGCTCATTTAAATTAGGACATAGCCCAAGAAAATGTATTGTGGACAGTAATCGTGCACTGGCTGGTGCTGATCAAATAGGCCTTTGAAATCTAACTTCTATGATTCAGGGGTGCTGAAGGCAGGAAGGGTTGTAAGAGTCAGGTAGTATTGGGATAGACTGAATACAAGAAGGTGGGTGAAATGATGGAGTAGTCAAGAAAGCAGGATGCATGCCTAGAAGTGATGGAAAAGCCTGGAGAGAAGCTGGGAAGGAAAATTAAAGGCTGGAAAGTTCAGAGGAGCAGTTAGAAGAATCCGCAGGCTATGGAAGTCATGAAGTTGGCCATGAAATTCAAACCGAAATCCTGTCAGAATGTCGCAATTCCCAAGGTGAATCTAATGACAGGATCAATTTACTATCCTGATAAATTGCCTTTAAATATATTACCTCTGACATAACAGAAGTGCTTAGAATGGGAAACTACTTACACAAAGGAGATTTTTCTGTATACTGATGCTTCTCTACATAAGGCCATATTCCATGAGGTGCTGTGAGCCCCTGCAACTAGTATGAGGAAAATGCGGATCTTTGTCCCCATTTAATGGCAAATAATTTAAAAAAAGATATTAATGAATCCACTACATATACCATTGGGGGACTTGTCCTTTAGCTCAAGCAGAAAGGTTCATGCGTTTAGGACTGTGAATCTGGATTCACACCTTAATATTTGACCAAGAGTGACTGGTTACATTGAGCATTAACAACTCCTTTTAATGAAAATGGTTTTTGTGGGTGTTTGGCACTTTTCAATATTTGGCTTACAGTGCTCATGTTCTATTGTGGCTCTGAAATCAATTTCTCTATACACCCAAGTGATACGGTTGGTGCATAAGCTATTTGTATCCTGTTCTATGCACATTCAAATGGCTCAAACACTCAGGGCTTGTCTACATTACCCACTAGATCGACGAGCAGCGATCAATCCAGCGGGGGTCAATTTATTGCGTCTAGTCTAGACACAATAAATCGACCGCTGAGCGCTCTCCCGTCGATTCCGGTACTCCACCGGGGCGAGAGGTGCAGGTGGAGTTGACGGGAGAGTGTCAGCTTTCAACTTACCACAGTGAAAACACCGCAGTGAGTAGATCTAAATATGTCGACTTCAGCTACGTTATTCACATAGCTGAAGTTACGTAATTTATATTGATCCCCCCTCAGTGTAGACCAGGCCTCAGAGGCCTCTTGGTGAAAGTTGCTCTGTACTGTCTTTGAAAAAGGGTAAAAGCCTGTCCTTTTTAACACAAAAAAAGATATTATCTCTTCATGCAGTTCCCTGGCACAAGGAGGGAGAATGAAACAGTAGTGAATGCACAGGAATTCCTAGAGGTGCGAGTGGGTGGAAGGACCACCAGAGCATGCAGTTGCCATGCAGAGGAACCCCATTCTGCATCTGATACACAACAGACTGCCATGTGCAAGATGGAAAACAGCTTAGAAGGATTTTTCATAGGATCAAGTAGCTCGGTTGTATGCTGTGTGACACACGTTTCCAGCTGAAATAGTGAGTGCATCTGGTAACATTCCATAGTTTAAATTCAATGAAATTTTTGTAATGTGACAACCTAAACGGAGTCAGAATTCAGGTGGGAGAAATTTCACTTTAGATCAAACAACTGAAGCTATCCAGTATGTGCATTATTTTGAACTCAGTGTCTTTAAGCTCTAGTGCCTTGTGGAACTAAAGCTGGAGGACACTGTCAAGACATTGTAACTGTGTTTCTAATCACTTCCCACTTTGTTTTCTCATTGAATTTGACTTCATGAAGGGGTATCTTGCCATCAGCTTTATGCGTCTCCTGTTGATGTATTTGAAAACATGTTTATTAATATGACTTTGGATGATTAGAGTAGGTTTTTCCAAATGAAAAATACAGTACCACATGACTGGTTTCTAGTAGGTTGCTAGAATGGACAGTTAGATGGTGTTTGATAATGCCTTAGTTCACCATCTGGTAAAATGCATATCATAAAAAGTTGCAGACTGTTATTGTCCATATAGTCTTGTGGATTGGGGAAAGTGTTGATGTGGTATATCTTGACTTGAGCAAGACTTTCGATACTGTCTCACATGACAGTCTCATAAACAAACTAGGGAAATACAACCTAGATGGAGCTATATGGTGGGTACATAACTGGTTGGAAAACCATTCCAAGAGAGTAATTATCAGTTGTTCACAGTCAAACTGGAAGGACATATCGAGTGGAGTCCCACAGGGAGTAGTTCTGGTTCTGTTCAATATCTTCATCAATGATTTAGATACTGGCATAGAGGGTACACTTATAAAGTCTGTGGAGGATATCAAGCTGGGAGGGGTTGCAAGCAGGCCTTAAATTCAGGTGGAGCTGTCCAGAGTGGAGCTCCAGTAAATATTTTCAACCCCCCTGGAGCTTTTATGGCATGTTAGAAGTGGTTTTGGAGGGGGCTCCAGAAAGTACTCTATTTAAGCCTGGGTTGCAAGAGCTTTGGAGGATAGGATAAACATTCAAAAAGATCTGGAGAAACTGGAGACATGGTCTGAAGTAAATAGGATGAAATTCAATAAGGACAAATGCAAAGTACTACGCTTAGGAAGGAATAATTAATTGCAGGCATACAAAATGGGAAGTGACTGCCTAGAAAGGAGTATTGCAGAAAGGGATCTGGGGGTCATAGTGGATCACAAGCTAAATATGAGTCAACAGTGTAACACTCTTGCAAAAAAAAGTAAACATAATTCTGGGATGTATTAGCAGGAGTGTTGTAAGGAAGACACAAGTAATTCTTCTGCTTTACTCCATGCTGATATGGCCTCAGCTGGAGTATTGTGTCCAGTCTGGGCACCACATTTCAGGAAAGATTTGGACAAATTGGAGAAAGTCCAGAAGAGAGCAACAACAATGATTAAAGTTCTAGAAAACATGACATATGAGAAAAGATTGAAAAAACTTAGTTTGTTCAGTCTGTAGAAGAGAAGACTGAGGGGGGACCTGATAACAGGTTTTAAATACATAAAAGGTTGTTACAAGGAGGAGGGAGAAAAATTGTTCTCATTAACCTCTGAAGATAGGAGAAGAAGCAATGGGCTTAAACTGCAGCAAGGGAGATTTAGGTTGGACATTAGGAAAAACTTCCTAACTGTTAGGGTAGTTAAGTACTGGAATAAATTGCCTTACAAATGTGGTCTTGTAGGCACTAAAGTTTTCCATTGTTTCATTTGGAGTGCAGTTACGTTAAAAAAAATTCTACATTTATAAGTTGCACTTTCGTGATAAAGAGATTTAACTACAATACTTGTATGAGGTGAATTGAAAAACACTGTTTCTTTTGTTCATCTTTTTTACAGTGCAAATATTTGTAATAAAAATAATATAAAGTGAGCATTGTACACTTTGTATTCTGTGTTATAATTGAAATCAATATATTTGAAAATGTAGAAAACATCCAAAAATATTTAAATAAATGGTATCCTATTCTTGTTTAACAGTGAGATTAAAACTGTGATTAATCAAGATTTTTTTAAATCTTACGATTAAGCGCGATTAATTTTTTTAATCGTTTGACAGCCCTAGAAATAAGCAGTGTAACTGCAATGTAATACAGCAATGTGAGCATAGATTAGTTGCTGTTATTATAAGGAGTTGAAGACACATGGGATCCCAGATATCTCCCTGTTCAGCCATCTCCACTTTGTATATCTCTGAAGTCTATTAATTGGTTTAACCAACACCAGCATCACTTATGTCACAAAGCAACAGTGGTCAATTTTCTCCAGCAGAGGGAAGTATCGTCTAAGTGTTCTTTTTCATGTAGAGCAAAAAGTAAAGTTCTCAGTCTCTTAATGAGAATGCTGTGAAATGTGTGGCAGAAAATTGGGTACCTGTGGGAAGACAGGTTTGTCTTCTGACATACAACCACTTACTAAAACAAAAATCTGACCCTTGCAGAGGGAGGAGATTGGGGTAGACATATCTGCAGGATGGGGTTAGGGGCTGGAGTTAGGTGGGTCAAAGGGAATGGGGGATGAGCCACAAAATTGAACTGGTGGGTGAGGTTGGTGCTTTTCTGTCCCACTGCCCCTCCACTATGTGCTCGCGCCCCCTGGTGGCCAGGCTGGGCCCTTTGCTCCTGGGACTGAGCCAGCCCAGCCTCACCCCACACTGTTATGAAGAGATGGCGGTGGATTCGGGCTGCCGGGTGGGGACTACAGTGGCTGCAGTGAAAAAGGCCTGGCAGTGGTAACACTGTTCCCCAGGTCATTACAGCTCCCTCCCCAGAACCAGCACTCCCAGAGCCAGCTCCTTGGCATCCTCCCTCCCCCCACAGTACCCCCAGAGCCAGAGCTCCTCGGTTTCCCCTGTCCCCCACAGGCAGCATGCAGAGAGCCCTGGAGAGGCAGAATCACCCCCGTGGCCTGGCAGCATTATCAGCCTGAGTTCTTGCACTGCTGCCATTGTCTATGGCAGGGGTCGGCAACCTTCGGCATGCGGCCCATCGGGTTAATCCGCTGGTGGGCCGCGAGACATTTTGTTTATGTGACCATCCACAGGCAAGGCCCCCCGCAGCTCTCAGTGGCCACGGTTCCTGACCAATGGGAGCTGCGGGAAGTGGTAGCCAGCATGTCCCAGTTGGGGGACAAAATTATACCAAATGTGTTAGGATGTCGAGGGGGGAAGGATTTGCCTGTCTCTGTCTCCCCCTTGTGGCACCTTTACAACCAGGAACAAAATAGAGGGATAAAAAAGTATAGAAATCTTATCCCATTTAAAATTAGACCAGTCTGTTTATATTACAGGAAACAATCCTTGTCCCAAGAATTAACTAGATGATGTAACAGTTCTTTTCCACTACAAGCATATATAATTCTGTGCCAATATGGTTTGTTACATCACTATATATAGCAGTGAGTTATGGTGTCACCTCTATGTAAAGCAACACGTACATTGATGATAGCAATGATGATGACCAATATGATAATTTCCCATTCAATATGTAAAGCTTATTCCTATGTTACAATGTCAGGTGGATCAGAAAGTTTAAAAAAGTTTGAATGTGTTATTAGCTTGCAAATAAGAGTATACTGAATCCTTGATCTGATTATTACAGGCAATCAAAATTAGGTTAACGACCAAAGGCAAGTTAACTTTTCACGAGTAGGCAATATAGTTTCACTCCTGTTTCATACTTTTGCTTCCCACGGCAATCATGCACAGTCTGAACATGACATGCCTGCTGGTTGTACTTAAACAAAATATCTATTTCTTACCATGATGCTGCAGGTCAGAACAGTGAGTGAGAGGATCTCCATTTCGGATATCTTGTCGTCTAGTACGCCTAAGAAAATCACATCAGAAAATGTTATTCACTTTCTCAGAGATGAAATTAAGTATTTGTGTTAGGTAAGCCAAAAAAGAAGGGCATTGTTATTTACTGTTATATGGGGCACGCAACATCACCTAGAAGACAGCAGGGTAAGTAAAGAACTTCATACTTTATTGCATTCTATAGCATTGTAGATAATAAACTTCTTCATGCTTCCAAATGAAGGCTTCAGTCATTGATAAATGCATGTGAATGTATAGTAAGCCCTCCTAAAAATACTGATTATGGGTAAATTCATCGGTCTTTTGAAATGTATATTAATAAGAGTCCAACATGTACAAAGTGCAGCCTGTTTAATGTTTATTGAAAATACAAGGAATTTAAAATGGCACCATCTTGCTTACAAACTGAGATTACATTAAATAGCCTAGCTTTATCGTTAGATTCTTCTAGATTATAGGCAAGAGGCTTATTTGGCAAACTACAATGTTACTTCTAGGGCTTAATATATTTAGAGATGGATAGAATAATGTTTAACTCAACTTTCTTCTGGTTTGACCACAACCTTGGATCTAAATCCATATGCAAGTTTTTGCAAGTGGCTTTCATCTTTAGTATGGGCTGAATTAAAATTCTGAATCGGAACATCCTTGAAAAATGGTCTATTCGAAGTCCAGATCTAAATTGTGTAGCTTGAATTCCTCTCTAGTTCTTATCACAGTCCCATTTAATATAACTTTATATTCTCCCTCCAATTTGCTCTCCATCTCTTCTCTTTGACAAAGTGTTGATCTGTTTGGAAAAATGTTGTGTTTTACAGAAAACAAAACAAAACATATTTTTCTATACAGTTCTCTTTGGTTTGCATTTGTTGTGCTAGCTTTGTCTGTTTCTTTTCTTACCTAAACAGCTGTGATACAAAACCCAATTCAGCCCATGAAAAGGAGTTTTATTTAAAAAAGAAGAAAAGAACAGGGCAAACAAAGATGTGTTTTGAGAACAAGCACTTTACTTTGGGAATAGTAGAAAACCAGAGGGATTGCAAAGTCAGGAGAGAGCAAAAAGGATTAGGTGGCCGAACAATATTGAGATGTCAGATTATGGCATCCATTGACACGCACAAAAAAGTGAAGTATCCTTGTAAGAGCCACACTTGATCTCACCCTTCAGTCACAATGGTACAAATTAAGCAAATATAATGGTTTCTGCAATACAGAGATCATCTCTTACCCCTCCCATTGTTAGAGTGAAAATCAGTTGGAACACAATTCATTAACAGCCCCAGAACTGATGGGGGAGGCATGCAGGGGGTTCTCCATTAGGGGTTATCAGCTGCGGAATTTGATTCTGGATCTGGGTGGGAATTTTTTGACAATCTCTCCATGAAAAAATGCTGATTTGTTGAAATCAAAATTCCCATTTCTGAAAAAAAAGCACCTAAATATCATTTTCAAAAGTGATTTAGTCAGAAAGGAGCCTAAGTTTCATTTATTTTTGAAAATGGGACTTATGAGCTATTGAACATTTCACCCATAACTCTCTTCATCCATAGATTTCATGATGCATCTCCTCACTATCTCCCTCCGTGGGCATATCCAATTTTCACAATGCCCTGAATGAATAGATAGTCTATTGGGTATGCTGCATAGCTTAACAAACTTTGGCTGAAGGGAGAAATGGGCTGGAAAATGGTTTTCCCATCCCATAATTCTTTTTTTTCAGAAACGGGAATTTTGTGGAAATTCTTCTCACAATTTTGATTTCCACAAATCATCATTTTTTTCTTGGAGAGATTGTCAAAAAATTCACACCCGGATCCAGAATCAAATTCCTCAGCTGATACCCCTTAAGTCCCATTTTCAAAAGTGATTTTTAGGCACCGAGGAGACTAAGTTTTAATTTATTTCTGAAAATGGGACTTATGCGGTTTTGAACACTTCACCTTGGGTGCATGAATCCCACTGAAAGTCAGTGGGACTTAGATGTCTTAGACACTTCTGTCTACCACTATTAATATCATATTTTCCACTGTAATGACACAACAAGATGCATGAAAGCATTTTAATAGAAGGCACCCTTCTGTGTTTAGGTGGATGTTCTAAAGATATACTTCATCTCTCTCACTCATTCCAGTTTGCACTGTATTTTCCCCATGGAAAGCTAGTTGCAATATGGGTGAATCAGAACCACACCCAGGCCCAAATGAGCTGCAAATGTAATGTTTGTCACTCCCTTCATAAATTCCATGGGCCAACTTATTTATAGAATTCTATTTGTAGGAATTAGGCCCAATTAGACTCCCATTAATGTCAATGGATTTTGGATCAAGCATTTAGTTAGGATATCAAGCAAATGTCACACATTTCAGCATTAAGCCAGCATGGTGATCTATGAAACATGAGCTCCAAAGCATCTGCACAACGCTGAGTCAAATGGTCACACTATACGCTTTCTAAACTGTCATTTAGGCTCCTTAAAGATACACTGAGTGGGAAATATATAAAAGACAGACAGATAAAGAAAATGACTATAAGCAAATCATCTCTACACATGCACCAAGCCACAGCATTCCCAACACTTTTGGAATCTGGATTTGTAGAGATGCATTAGTGGGAGGCCATGGCATTTGAGTTCTTTCCGGGAATGCTCATTTTGTGACAGGTGTATTTAGTTTATCTTCTTTACCTCCCCTGGGAAGAATTATTTTGCCTCAAATTATTTCAATATTCTGGTGCAAAAATAAGACTGCATGTTTCATAAGCAGCTTCCCCCCCACCCCCACCAAGTGTTTGCTTAGGCTACACTGAGGTACAAAGCTTGACATTTCAATCCTCTCCAGCTGAAATATCTGTGGAGGAAACTCTCCCTACTGTCCCTTACATTATCTCATCCCTTCCGGCAGCCAACCAACGCCCCCGGCCCCCCTCCCCTCCCCCCAGAGTTAAATACATTTTGGAAGCATGAAATTCCTAACTGAAGTATTTGTAAACTTTAGCTTCAAGATGAAGTTTGCCTCTTCTGTACATAAATGCTTGGATCTCTCATGTCTCCTTTGATGCAAGACACCTATGGCATATTCCCTTTTACATTATCACCATCTGAGCAATTTTTTTTTTTTTTGCAATAATTTGTCTAAAATACTGATAGTTAGAAGGTGATGATATGCTGACCATGGGCCAAATTCTGATCTGATTTGCAACAATGTTTATCAAATAAGTTATTTCAGATTTACATGTGAGTAATTAAGTATCGGGGGTAGCCGTGTTAGTCTGTATCCACAAAAACAACAAGGAGTCCGGTGGCACCTTAAAGACTAACAGATTTATTTGGGCATAAGCTTTTGTGGGTAAAAAACCTCACTTCTTCAGATGCCTGGCGTCTGAAGAAGTGAGGTTTTTTACCCATGAAAGCTTATGCCCAAATAAATCTGTTAGTCTTTAAGGTGCCACCGGACTCCCTGTTGTTTATACCTGAGTAATTGACAGCAGATTATAGACCCTGGCCCAAAGTCAATTCTTAATAGCGATAGATTTAAAGTTTATTTGGAGGCTAAAAATGCATGTTTTAAAAACGTTAAGCTAAACAGCTACTCCACAGTACTTAGAAAAATACAAATATTATTTTTCATGTACAGGGCCTGATACTTCTTCACGATACCGCTTGTGTAATCATTTACATCTGTGCAAAGTGAGTGTAAAATGCTATCAAATCAGAATGGCTACACCAGTTTTGCACAAGTTGCAGAGCAATAGAGAATAAGGTGGTATCTATCTGTCAGTTTTCATTAAGCCCCAAATGCTTTCTCATTCAGTTAGCATCACAACAACTTTTGAAAGTGTAGGGCAAATGATGTTACAGTTGTTAAATACCTGTATTCATAAGTGTGTAATGATTGCAGGCCTGAGCTCTCAATGAATTTTCTCTCCATTTTTTATTGTTGACATTTTTCATTGTATAAGACAGCAGATTTCCATTTCAGAGATGGCACCATTCTGAATGTTTGTTTGTTTTTTATCATGGACTTTCCAAGCCATCCCCAAAAGTAGCAATGTTCACTTACCAAGACTTGATATTGCTTGTAACTTCCACAAATATGTTTTCTTTGAAATAGACAGGGCTCCAGTTAACCATCCCATGAAAAACCTCGAAATCCCACAGGTCACCTTTCAGATCATCAATTAAGGCAAGTGGTATATAATGCAGATATGTGCAACTGTCCCTACCTCTTAGCAGTGGGGAAGTAACGCGAGCACGAAGAGCCGTCCCAAGCACAGTAAGGGTCTCTAGCAAGGCAGCACTCAGCACATGCTTTTCCGTACACGTCGCAGCGGTGCAAAGGAAGCTGTGAAACTCCAGCAGCTGAGCCAATGTAGAGTTGTTGCTGTGAAATAAGTGCAAGTTGGCAAATAATCAGGTTTCACTGGAAAGACATGCACAATACATCAAAAATATATATAGTGAGGGCTGATTCTGATCTCATTTACATGGGTTTTACGCCAGTGTGTCTACAGTGACTTCAGTGATATTGCTCCTGATTTACACATGTGAGCGAGAGGCAAATCAGCCCCAATATTTTAAAAAAAAGTCCAAGTAAGAAAATTATTTCCTGTTTCTATGGGACAAATTCTGATACTGATTTTTGTATGAAACCTCCACGGACGTCATTGGAATTGCCACAAGCGAAGCGAGGTAGACTATGTCTCTAAGTTCCTATCCTTCAATACCATAGAAATGGCAAAATTAGGTCAGACCAATGGACAATATAGCCCAGTATCCTGTCTTCTGACAGTGGCCAGTGCCAGATGCTTCAGCGGACGTGAACAGAACAGGGCAACTATCAAGTGACCCATCCCCTGTCATCCATTCCCAGCTTCTGGCAGTCAGAGGTTTAGGGACATCAAGAACATGTGTTGCATCCCTGACCATCTTGGCTAACATCCATTGATGGACCTATTCTCCAGGCATCTATCTAATTCTTTTTTGAATCCAGTTATACTTTTCGCCTTCACAGTATCCCCTGGCAACAAGTTACACATATTGACTGTGTGTTGTGTGAAGAAGTACTTCCTCATGTGTTTTCAGTCCAAACTGTAATAGGTTTCAAGTACACCAATGTACTTGGAATTGCCACAAGCGAAGAATTTTTGATTAGTCAAAAATGATTTCTAATAAATCTCCCTAGAATGAGAGGCTCTGAACTGACCAGAAGCACAGAGAGTCATAGGAAATCTAAAATAAATTAACTAAGACCAAAAGAAAGTTGCTTAAAGATTTTAGTTATTATGGGACAGTTCAGAATGTTCAATCGGTTCAGTATATTATGTGGTTTAGGAATCCTATAATCAAGAGGGTATCCAAATCACTCTACTTGCTTCTCTTTAAAGCAATGTATTTAGGATCCAGTTGTTGACCATTATGCTGGACACTAATAATAAATAATTCCAGCCAATATGAAACTCAAAAAATGGTAATGGAATCATCCCCATGAATGGCCTGACACTGCACTCTCACAAGACAATTTGTGTTTAATACATCAACTGATTATCAGATCAAATTACAGCAAGAGAAGCTGTCCATTGAAGAGATCTTTTCAAACTGCTGAAACAACAGCACTATAGGGAAGATCTGCGGGTTAAGGGAGGGTCAAAATACGTGGCAGTGGTCTCCGTTTGCCATCACTTACCACACATTCATGTCTGAGATACAACTGTTTTTCCTATGGTTTGGAATAACAGATGTAAAATGCATCCCTGTACAGCAAGCCAGCACAAGGCCGTGAAAGTGGGGCATAGGTCTTGTATGGCTCTTCAGCACAGGACTGAATGTTATCTAGTATGAAAATATGCAGGAGCAGAAAGAGTGAGAACTGAATAAGATATAGTACTTCACACATGTATGCAAATATAGTGTAAGTTCTTTTTGAAGATTTAAGGGATTGTCTCTCTCTCCTCCCCTCCTTGAATGGAAATGTGGGTGGTGGGAACACAGAAATTCTCTGTTCCAGACAAAAAGTTTGTCTGTATCTACCCATGATCTACTTGTCCCATCCCACCCAAGGCTTCTATGAGCACAGGGGTTCATAAAACCCATAAATCTGAGCCCAAGAGGTAGAAGGGGTGAGGGCTTGCACCACAAAATGCTACTTCCAGCTCCCCTACTCTGTTCTGTGGGTATTCATAGCAGCAGGTGGGGAGGGGGATAGGTATGGGGGTACCAGGGATTTTCTGTGGCCTGTTCCTCCTCCCAAACTTAGGGGGCAATGAGGAGAAAGTTATTGTAGATTGAATCTGGGTAACTTTTCAGGTTTTTCCTCAGTATTGTGGAGCCCCATCTGAGGGAATTTCTGGGGGCAGTGTTGGCTCCTGCAGTAAGAGTGCTTTTAAGGAACTGCAGGGAGTCAGGGGGGCAAGGGGCTCTGCTCAGATGGCCTGCTCCTGTTGCTGATTCACCAAGAACTGTGCAGATCTCAGGGGTCAGTGGATTTAGGGGATGGAACACACATGAAAGCCTTAGTGATGAACTCAAAATCTAACCTCTGTGAGCTAGAGAGGGACAGGAGGCACATCAAGGCTCACTCTGAATGCATTGTTAAGGGCTGATTCAAGGGGTAAAATTCACCCCTGTGCAGAGGGCCAGCCAGCACTAGGCCTTAGCTAGACACCTAGTGGGGAATGCCAATTGAGTTGGCAAGACTGCCAGAGAGGTAGCAATGGTAAAGTCTTGAAGTACCAGTAGATGGGACCCACAGACCTAGTAAAGTATGCAAGAGTAAGCAGAAAGGTCTGTACACAGGGCTGTCTGAATCACATCAACGCACTCCTAGTTTATATATATAGTGATGATTGCACTGAAACTATTGAATAAAGCATGCTGATTTTATTGTTTACATTTACACTTTTGCACTGTGCAGTGCCTAGAGCAGGGGTGGGCAAATGTTTTGGCCCAAGGGCCACATCTGGGAATAGAAATTGTATGGCGGGCCATGAATGCTCACAAAATTGGGGTTGGGGTGCGGGAGGGGGTGAGGGCTCTGGTTGGGGGGTGCGCGCTCCAGGGTGGGGCCAGAAATGAGGAGTTCAGAGTGCGGGAGGGAACTCTGGGCTGGGGCAGGGGGTTGGGGCATGAGGAAAGGCTCAGTGGTGCAGGCTCCGGGCGGCACTTACCTCAAGCGGCTCCTGGAAGCAGAGGCATGTCCCTTCTCCGGCTCCTATGCGGAGGTGCGGCCAGGTGGCTCTGCATGCTGCCCCATCTGCAAGCATCGCCCCTGCAGCTCCCATTGACGGCAGTTCCTGGCCAATGGGAGCTGCGGGGGTCGCGCTTGGGGCAGGGGCAGCGTGCAGAGTGGAGCCCCCAAGCTGCCCCTATGTGTAGGAGCCAGAGGGGGGCCATGCCGCTGCTTCCAGGAGCCACATGGAATGGCACCCATCTCTGCTCCCTGGCTGGAGGGCCGGAGAGGGGCAAGCCCCAGACCCTGCTCCCCAGCGGGAGCTCAAGGGATGGATTAAAATGGCTGATGGGCCGGATATGGCCCACGGGCCGTAGTTTGCCCACCCCGGGCTAGAATTATTATGTTATTATGATGTTTATGTGAAACCCCACAACTTAAACACAATGAGTAATGTGTTTGAGATGTAAAACCTAGAGCATCTTTTAATCATAAATATAGTGTTGAAGCATGTTGCCAAATACTTCTTTGATACAAAGTCTCTGTGCCAAAAGCTTGTCATGCTGAATCATGATTCTGTCATTTTTAATCCAAGGCTGGCTGATATTTCAAAAGCTTAATTTTGCCTGAATAACTCATACTGTGCTCTTTCTAGTTTTAGATAATATTAATATTGTAATTTGTTTTCTAATGACTTGGGGGAAATTGTAATCCCTCCTAAGTAAATAAAGATGCTTTGAAGAAGTTGTTATATTAAAATGCACAGCCCATTATACAATACAATCAGCTGTCTTAAAAGAATGTACTTGTAAAAATAATCCAAAGCAGAGCATTTTGGTATGATGTGAACATATACACCACTTGACAGGTTTGTTTGTAAATGGTACATTCTTTTTAAGCCACCGTTTTTGTTGGTTTGGGTGATATGTCAGGGAAGTGGCCCCAAACAAAATGTTTTGTGTCAAATACTGCACATTTTCAGGCAGGTTTCCAATACACAATGGATTCCTAGTTCTATTTTCAGCATTTGAAATGGAGAGTTGAGCTTTGTTCATTAGAAAATACAATTTAGCCCTTTGAAGGGTGCCCTCACAAGGCCAATGCACCACTTAAGACCTATTTCAACAGGGCATAGGTCTCATTGTGACTCTTTGCTGAGAGGTGTTGTACACCATTACTAATGGACCCAATCCTGCAACAACTTACTATCAGGTATTACTACTGGAACTTCAATAGGAATATTCATGTTAGTAAGCAAGATACTCGTTCGTATTTTGCGAATCAGGCCCAAAGTCAGCAAAACTGGGAAAAATCACCTCTCTATTTTTATATATCTATAATATAAGCTATTATAAAGCATACCGGGGGTGACTGTGCTTCCACTTAAATCAGTGAAGGGTTTTGTCACTAACTTTGCAGGAAACAGCACTGGATCCATATGTGTAAAGGGCCAAATTCAGACATGTTGTAAGTGAGTGCAATGCCTCTAAACTCCATAGCTTCTTAGTCACTGGAGCATTTGGTAATGTGGAATTTTTCTACAAGCAGCTGGTTAGTTAGTGTTTAGTTTACACCTTGCCAGTAAAGCACAAAACTAACTTTTTCCTTTCTCCACTGCCTGACACATTTTCCTTGAGAAACTGCTGATGTTTATGTAAAGGGATGGGATGTTGCTGGTATAATTAATATGCCTCTCCTAAGTGCCAAGTTACTGTCTCTGAAATATACAGGCCAATAAATATTTTAAAAAGTGATTTAAAGCTTGTGCATACAGTACCTGCTTTGTGGAAATCTTCATGGCAGAAATAACCGTGGGTTCCTAGAAAAAACATTAAAATGGGTTAAAATGTAAAATGTTCTTTTTATAAACATGAAATTAGTGCTAGAGGGTCATCTACCAGCTAAGAAACTCTTTGGATCCTTTGATGGCATTTCTTGCTGACTATTAAAATGAAATGTTTTTATTGTTATAGGTGAATTAGAATGCATATGCATTTGTGCCTGTGCAAGTCTAAATTCAACATCACAATTTATCAATCATTTCTCATACTTCATTATTCCAGAGTTATTGGTTTTGTTGTTTGTTTCACTTTTTGAAATTCATTTCTGCTCATACTGTTAAATTTAAATTTACAGGAATGTATCCATCTAGCACGCATAGAGAAAAGCTTAAGAATAAATATTAATATGATAAGGTGCAGGTGACGGAACCCAAATGATCACTTGATCATTACCTGTTAGGTTCAGTCCCTCTGGGGCACCTGGCATTGGTCACTGTCGGAGACAGGATACTGGGCAGAATGGACCTTTGGTCTGACCCAGTATGGCCATTCTTATGTTCTTATGTAAATAAACCAATCACTTTAATAATACCTAGATGAAGACCCCAGTCCTGCAAACACTTATTCATGTGACCAGCTCTCCTCACATGAGTAGTCCTATTGACTGTATTGGAATTGCTCATGCTTATGTTTATGGAATGTGGAGCTCATACTGGTAGTAAATTTTTATACGGTGAAGTATTTAATCAATATAATGGGCAAATCCTGCTCACCTTACTCAGGCACTGACTTCTATGGAACATTATGCCTGAGTAAAGTTAGCAGATTTTGGACTCATACATAGTTTCCAATATAAATTATTGTAGCTTTATAATCACGTTAATAAAATAATGGATTTAGTCTTGATCCTAAAGGGTTTTTTGTTTTATTTTACATTGATAGGGTAGTCCCAGTAACTTCAGTGGGATTAGTTATGTAAGTAAAAGCTACAGGACTGAGCCCTTAATGAGTAATTCTAACAAAGTTTAAGTTTCAGTGCAGTGTAAAACCTTATTACATGCAATGCAAAAGAGTACTACTAACTGACCCTATGCATCATGTTTTTAGCAAGGTATATTAATATAGTTCGCATTAAGCTTTCAACCTGCTGATCCTGGGAGAATTTGATATGGCTGAGTGGATGCTAAGCATGTGGACTCCTTTACAAATGGGTTAATAGACCTGGTATTAGAAAGCATCAATTACGTGTTACATTTGAATGAAAATTGAACTCATTTGCTTGTTTGCTCAGCTGTTCCGGGGAATATTTCACAATTCGGGTTAAAAAAGGCATTTGTTATCAATGTAACAGAGCTGGAAGGTTTTCAGTTTGGTGGATTTATAAATGAAAACCATTGTATTCATCATACTGCGGCTCAAACAGTGAAATACATTCTTCATGACACAGAGATAGCCTCTTCTGTAGCCAGTAAAAACTCAGATATCGTAGGTTCCATCTAAAATTTATTGCAAAATTTCTATTAAAAGATCTAATTCCTGTTTACTTCAAGGCCTCCTTACATATTAAACTAAGGAGGCCTTAATGTCAATGAGAATCAGGCCCAAACTATTTTTATATAATACAAAAGATGCACCAGTAAATTTAAAACCCAAATCCTAATTTGCCATTCAGTGTAGTGCTGCTGCAAATCCAGTGTGGAAAATAACGTTGATTCAGTTTTTCCTAATTTACTCTCCTATTTCTTTGATCTCTTGGCACTTCTGCTTTATTTAAGGAAGAAACTCCTATGCTATCAAAGTTGCCAGATTACCCTGCGGAGTACATAATAATCTTGCTACATGTTAAAGAGAGAAAAGCCAGAAGCCACAAATTACACTTCTCATTTTCCCTTCATAGCTTCTAATTTACATTTGTGTTAAAAAACCCCAAAACAACAAAAAACCCAAACCCACAAAAAATGAAACACAGCCTGACAGTGACCAATCTCTGGGCGGTGATTCTTGTGCAAACTTTGCCTGTGAAGCATAGAATGCTGAAAGTAAACATTTCTATAAGATCTGCCCAAATATGTTGTGTCTACTGTCAAACCAAAGATACAGTGATGGCAACATAGGATGAAGAGAGGAATAATTCAGGAAACTCAAATGTTTTATTGTAGCACAGAAAGCATGGAACATCCCCGGGGATCTATCTGACATGATTCAGAAAAAAAGTTTGATTTATTTGGGCTAAATTTTCAGAAGTGACTAGTGGATGCTTCACTTGGGGTAAGATGTGGGGCAGCTCACAGTACTTTAAAGGGACTTGATTTTCATAAAATGCTGAGCTCCCATACTCTTAAAATCAGGCCTTTTTAAGCTATCTCAAGTCAGGCACCTAACAATGGAGACACCCAAAGTCCCTTCTGAAAATTTAGGCCCTCTGTTCCTTTTGGTTTTGAAGGCAACCGTAAATGGTACCAGACTTAAAAAAAAAAAAAAAAAACCTCTGGAGGCCAACATTTTGCCTAAGAGAGGTAAAGTGTATATTTCATGTGTATTTGTTATGTTTTCACTGAGGTGTCATGGAAGCTCAAGGAATAAGACTGAAGAATCTCCTCCTACCCTGATAATCTGAATTGTTTCTAATAGCCACCTATGTAGTTATTATTTTGTATAACCTTCTGGGAGAGGATGGGTGGGGAGATTCCAGAAAATACACATTGTTTAACTGTAACTGACAATCACTCAAAGATTTAGTGATTCTAATTTACCATTGAAACAGCACAACAAGAATCAGGAATGTTATTTCTTTTATCATTAACCTCCAACTAGCATTGGAAGCTTCAAGGTTTATTTTGACTAGTGTCTGGGTGTGTAATGGACAAGCTAATTAGAAGAGTATGCCAGGCTACTCCTTGGCTATCCTGCAACAAGTTCAGCTTGCAGCTGTCCACAGAAAAATCTACAACCTGACACTTGAAATTCAGCAGCACTTACCCGAAAGATTGCCATTTCTTCCAGCAAGACTTCTTCTAAATCATGCCAAGTCTCCTTAGGAATTGAAACCACTTTAAGAACCGTCCCAATATCTTTAAAAGAAAAAAAAATGTTTTCAGGTGCTTAATAAGTAGACTCCAATTTAAGGGCAACCAGAATTTCTTGATCTTTTGCAATATGCAATTATTTCCATACAAAGGTCCTGACACTACATATTGCTGAGAACTGACTCCACACAATACCCACTGACATTTGAAATGAACTAGCAGGGTTCTGAATTTCAATAAAGCATTGTTCTGAAATTTCTTAATTGTGGAAGTTCAACAGAAAAATGATTCATTACTCTGCTTCAGCTGTTAAAGAATGAACAGGACAGCACAATATTATTAGATTGGTGTCATGAAATGTCAGCTGCCTCAGAGGTATTATTATAGAGGGGAATGTGCTAAACTTACTCAGCCACATTTTATTAGCCATTCTGAAGTAGGAAGTTTTTCATACTTGTTTTAAAATACAAGTGCAGATGTTATTAGAAGGCTCATTGTGGACACAAGGACAGCTGGAAGAATGTTGTCAAACTGATGAAGTTGTCAGTTCTTTTAAGTACATGCTGTCCTGGTGTCAAGCAAAAGTATCTAAGACTTATATGTCCCTAAAGTTATTTGTATTTCTATTATGTGATGAATGGCATTAGCCTTGTTTCAGGATAAAACAACAACAGCCCTGTACAACTTGTATCTTTTAATTAGAGATAGGTTTGCACCAAGGGCTCGATTCTACACTCATTTAGGTTACTGAGAGTTTTTCCACTGACGTCAATGTGAGCAGGTCCAGGTCTCAAAACCCCAGCGCTAAACACCCCCTCAAAGATGTATGGAAGTCTGGATTTGGAACTGAACTTTCTAACTTATGACCATCTCTCTATTTAACCTTTGAAGCATATATCTGTGCTTCATTTTGCATAAACCAACTTTCTGGAAACAGTTGCAATTTTGCCAGCTTAAACCAAAACCTAGCATTTCTGGTTTGTCAAAGATTACCAAAGACTTTTAGCAGTAACAAGAAATGTGTGTTATAATTCAATGTTTGAGGTCTGCTAAGCATGATGCAATACAATCACATTGTAGAAAGCTAAAAGTATTCACCCTCTGAAAATCAAGCCCCTTTAGGGTGTCTCAAGATCAGCACCTACAATCACTAGTCACTTTGGAAAATTTAGGTTATTTTTAAAGCCATGCGGTAAAGGCATTAAGCATAATAAAAATATAGAGAGTCAACATTCTTCCTAATACAAAGATTTCCCAAGAATAACTATTAGATATGGTCAAAAATGCTCTGTTGGAAAATTCTCCATTTTTCCATCAGAAAATGCTGATTCAACTACATCAAAATGTTTAGCGGGCAAGTATCTATTTTGACCCAAAATAGATACTTATTGAAATAGTTTGTTTTGATAAAGTTGGAATGTTTCATTTATACTTTATCATTTTGACATTATTCTGAATGTTATATTACATTTTACTTTACGATATCATATAAAAGTGGAAACAAAAAAAGTCCAAATGAAACATTTGGACCCTACTGAAATAAAATATTTTGATCTTTATAGAAATGAAATGTTTTGATAAAGTATAAACAATTTTTTTCCGTTATTTCATTCTGTGAAAAAAATTATAGTTATCAAGTTTGTATCTTGAATTGGGACAAAAGAAAATTTCAAAATCTCATAAATTCCCATGAGACAGAAATGCTGTTTCTTGACCAACTCTAATAACTGTCTTATGATCAAGTTGAAATCTAAATATCTATGCTGAGGAGGGGTTTTTTTTTTTTTAAACAGTACATCTTTGTTTAATTTTTCCACAAAATGCAATTGCAATCTAATCTCTTTCATTAACTCCAAATTTGCAGATGCAATTTTTAAAGGAAAATGAAAATAAAATAAATCTCTTAAAAGGAAGTTTTGCCTTTTATTTAAAATACTGCATGTATGATTTTGTCTCATGAAAAATACTAGATGGACAGTTATGAAATCTTTGGTTATTCACTATTATTATTACTAATTATTTTTAAATATTTACTTTGAGCAATATACTTAAAAGTCGCTTTACAGAACACCATAGAACAAGCAGAACATAAACTTAAAACAAAAACTCCTGAACTTTCCACAACTATCCAGAAAAACTAATAATTCATTATTAAGGTTATTAGCAATATGAGAATTGGAAACTGCCCTAATTACCCTGGCTCCAATTTGGTAATTGGGGTTTGGAGAAAAACCTGCAAACATCAGAGAGAGGACTTCAAGCTAATGAACATAACAGGGTGTCACGGTTTGTAGGGCTTTACACGGTATTAGTACAGGACTGTCATCAGTACAACATTTATAGTCTATTGAATGCTACATTTTGGGACAGCATAAATGGAGTTTTGATAAAGAGAAACAAGTGGAGTTGTGGAATCTGAGCAGGGCAGATAGACACTGTAGCTCTAAGCATCACATTTTTTAAATAAATGCTTTTCTTTTAAGAAGATCCTGCAATGATTATGGTAGCTTGGTGCTGCAGAAAGCCCTTGAGGTCAAAGGTACAATATGTTAAGCACTATGGCGACTCTGATCAGGCCTCAGGTACCAAAGTGGTGTTTTATCTGAGTTCTAGATCAAGTTTTACAGAGTAGTATTTCAAACAATTTCACACAAATTGAATTGGGCTTCTCTTTTAGGATCAATGGGCTCTGGTGAGTAACTCAGTTTAGAAGATAAGATTACTGTTATTAATTCACTTTACTGACAGATGTACCTAGACTGTGCCAAATAATCCCCCACATCAGATATTCAGGATACGCTTTAACTGGATACATTGGAACCTGTTTTTTTCACAGACATATTTTCGGGCATTCCAATATAATTTTGTTTCCACTGTGGAGTAGCTAGGGGATAGTCCTTGTTACAGTGACGATGAGAAAGAAACTGCTTGGATGAAGATTTCACCCACAGGAAAGGAAAATATGACCATGCTGGATGGCCTGCTAATTATCCTGGGGTTAACTAGCACCAGTTATGTCAATACCAAAAAACGTTCCCATTTTACTGAAGTTCTGCAGTCTGATTCCTACAATGCTAATGGCTATATATAATCTGATGGCACAGAACTGCAGAGAAATCCAGTCACACCATACAGGGCTAAATCATGGCTTTGTCACAAGTCCTGCTCAACAAGCCATAAATTAGATCGTAATGTGAGTCCACAATCTGATTCCTGGTTCCTTCTTTGCTCTGGGGATGGAGGCAGAGGTGTCATGCCCGGTACCAGTCCCATCCATGGTGCTGATTCTTAACCCCAGTATGCTGGCTCAGCTGTGCTCGCTGGCATGATGAGGGAGAGCCTTGGTTTCCCATCTATTCCCTATCTGCATGGAAGTGAGAGTAGTAGCTCCACAGAAGGTTTTCTTTCCCCATATTATTAACCACATTCTAGCGACTGCAGATGAGCAAGTGGGCACCTTACATCCCCTTACTCCCCTGTACGTCCCTCATTTACTGTCCCTGTTGAGCAGCAGTTATCTTAGTCTGACAAACATAATATTGCAGAAAATAATAGCAATTCTTTACATTAGCAATACTTTACATGTACAGGGCTGCATTTTCAGTTCTGTTTTGGCAGGTGCATATTTTTGCTCACAATTTGTGGACACAAATATCTGCATTACCTGTCTAACCACTGCACCTGTTTTCACCTAGAAATCTGAAATTTGCATCTGTAGTGAACAGTAGGGAGGAAATTGCTCCCCCCAAAATGGAAGTCAAGTTGAGGTCAGTTTTAAAACCAGACCCTCAGTATACAAGACCTCTCCTGAGGATCTCAAAGGGTTTTTCAAAAGTTAATTCAGCAAGTCTCACAATATCCCTCTCTGATTGGCAGTTGTATATCCACTTCACAAAGAGGTAAACTGAAACATTGAGAGATTAAAGCCTTGCTCATGTACCACCAAATTCAATGAGTTTTACATTCACGTCAGCGAGATCAGGATCAAGTCATAAATGACTTGCTGAAAGTCATCTAATAGTGTGGCCTAATAGGCAGAGCAGTGATTGGGAACTCAGAAGGCTTGGGTTCTATTCCTGATTTAGTCTCTAAACTGCTGAGTGACTATAGGCAAATTATTTCATTTCTCTGTGCCTCAGTTTTCCCATCAGTAAAATTGGGATAATGATGTTTCCTGCCTTTGTAAAGCCATTTGAGGCCTACAGATGAAAAGTGCTATATAAGAGCCATCTTATTATTGCATCTGTCATTGCAAGATGGGCATACATTATCCAATTTTCCTTATGTGATGGAAATATTTGTGGCACATAAAAGCAGATTTAAATATTATTCAGAGTTTTAAACAATAACCCGCCGCACAAGCATGTCATAATTCTGTTCACAATTTCAAAGAGCTGGAGCACTTTCTTTATGGCTGCATTTTCTGCAGTAAATGTTTGGTACACATGCAATATCTTTAGTATACAAAGCTTCAGCACAGGTCTCAGTTTACTCATGATTTATGTTAGGCATCAACATGAAGAGAGCCTTGAGATTTATTGCTTTGGAATCTGACCCCCAGCTATGGAGCTGTAGATTTGTAACTGGTGCCATTCAGAAACAGTATTCTTATGAGAAAGAAAGAGAAACAGACAGACAGAGAACCTGTTCATTTTTTAGAGCACTGCAGTGGGAAAGTTCTTTGGGTTCTTTGATTTAACTTCTTGAGGCTAGTAATAAAGTCACTATATTCAATACAAGTTTGAAACACTAGTCAATCTGGTGGAAAATCATCAAAGATGAAAGGCCAGCTCTTCAGATGGTGCTAATCAATGTAGTTCCATGATGTCAATGGAGAAACAGGGCTGAGTGGCTGGCCCCTGGTGCTTTCATGTAGAACTTTTAGCAGTAGTAAAAATTGCTTTATTTACAAGAAAATCCCCCCTTTTGCATGCTGGAAGAAAGATATAAAGCCCAAGCCATAAGATAGTATAAACACTTTACCAGCGGCATTGTGCTTTAGCATAACTTTTTGTCCTTCCTAGGACCTCTTATAGATATCAGAAAACCTGGTGTGTTGAGGGTAATGAAGCATTCTTCTGGCTGGTGGCCAGTTTAGATTAGCACAGTGCAAAATATGTTGAAAGAGGACACAAGAAATATCCCACAACTCAGATAAATACTGCTCGCTTTACTCATGTGACTAGTTCCTATGAAGTGAACTAAAAACAAAATTATAATTACCAGTGGGAAGATGCCTCTAATTAAAAAAAAACAAAAAACCCTCAATAACCAGGGTCTGTTCCTACTCCAACTGAAGTCAAAGGCAAAACATCCACTGATGTCAAGTCCTACTCAAACAACATGTAACCCTTAAGTAACAAAAAAGAAAAGAAAAAATGTGTTGAGCCTTGCCCTAAAGAATTCCACAGATGTACTCTATAGTACACAAAAATAAGCTTGCTTGCTACCAATAATGAAAACCACTAATCTACTCTACTTCTCCATACTCCATGTGAGAACATCAGATGTAGCATAAAAGATTCTTACCTGTTCCAATGAACATGACATCATACTGGCCATCTTCTGCATCAACCCGGTCTACTACTATCTGTGTGAACTGGTAATCCACATCTGTTTTGATCATGATTGGACGATTATTGATAGGGAATACAGGGTTGTACATTGCTGGATGACTTCTTGCAAATGTGATGACTTCATCAGGAAGGTCCTTGGTAGAGTCAAAGCCTCCAAATGTTTTACTGGGACACTGAGAACAAGAAAGAGAATATTTTGCACCTTATAACTGAGCAATTAGATATACTAGTTTATCTGAGCTCCATGTGAGTCTTCAGTCTATAATAAAGCACAACCCAGGATATAATTGTTCCATGATGGACAATAACTGTACAGAGAGTTAATACTGGCACCAAAAGTCTTTGGAGAAATATTTTTCTTCATTGAAATCAATATAGCTCATACTATAGAATATTATGGTTTGTATACATTATCTTTCTTATCACTGTGCTGTGCGAATAATTGATTGTCAGTAATTTACTGACTACTATTATCTTTTTAATTGGCTGTACAAGACCATAGAGATGCTGAATATGCTAAAAATTACCGTACAAAAGACACAGATTAAAGCATCCAGTTATCTACAGTAGAAAACTAATTATCCGTAACAATCACCCCACTATCTAAGCATCTTCTTCTGGGACTCAAGTCAAAACTCATTCACTTCAAAGGACCTTGGATTAGGCTCCTAATGAGCTGCCAGTGTGACTCCCTGTTCTGTTTACCCCTGATTATCTAAACTGCTGATTATCTGGACATATCTGGCGTCATCCAAATGGTTCTGATGATGAGGCTCCTGTTGTGTTGAATTATTCGTATAAATTTTCTAGCGTGGGTGGTGAATAAAGTGCTTGTAGTGAGTTCAGGTTAGTTGCCTCGATGTCCACTTGTAGTGAGCAGTACAATGACAGAGGGGAGCAATACTTTCCATATAGGACTAGGCTGTCGCTAGGCCTCACACAGCAGCACAGGGGAGTAAAGATTTCATGTTCCACCTCATGTGGTCATGTTAGGACTAACCAGTCTTGGCTCTGGGTCCTATGCAATGCACAGGGGCTACCCAGACACTGCTCCCTCCACCCATGAGTAAGTGGGTGAAGATGAGGGAAAGAGTGGGGAGGACAGCAGGCAAAGCCATGACTCATTCCCCCCACAAGCATTCCCTTCTGCTTTCCCCACCCACAATTCCTCCTGAAGGAAGTGCACTTATGTATCAGGTCTGTGGCTAAACGCTAAAGACTAGCCCTTATCTAATGAATTCTCTCTCAAAAACTCAAAATACTTTATGACCATCAGAGATTTTGACCTAACAACATCTCTCTGTAATGTGGGGAATTATTATTAGCCCCATTTTACAGATGAGGAGACTGAGGCACAAGGAACTTAAATGACTTGTCCTAGGTCTCACAGGAATTTTGAGAAGCCAACTTCAGGTGCCTGACCCTAACCTCTTAAACACAAGACATCCATCTCAGACATACAAAGCTATGAGGCAAATTTCACTATGCTTATGATTATGTTCACCGCATTTGATCTTGAAATATAAACACCCCAGTGATATAAAGCCTGGGGTAATGCATCTTTTATTCACATTGATAGACTATCCACCACTTAGAGTAAAAACTTTGAAACCAAAAAGTAATTAAACAGAAATCCGGATCTTGCTGGATTCTCAGTAGAAGAAATCAATTGTCTTTGCCATCACCTTGATCCAGATTATTAATAATTCATCAGAAATGACATAAAGAAATCAATCTGGCCAAAAAGAGCAGTTGTTATTTGCAGCGGAGGGACACTTCAATGCAATGGGAAGCATGGGGGGTGTGAGAGATAGGTTTTCACTTTTTGCATGTTTTCAAGGAAGCAAATTCCAATATTCTCTTTCATTATATATTAGAGAAAGAAAGAATTACTGATTAAACCCCAATTAGCCAAATAAACAATAATCATAAATATAGCAAGACAGTCACCTATTCTTATTATCTCTACATTCTAGCCTTAATTATTATTATTTCATATCCATATGTTCTTTTACTTCCAATTAGAAAAATACAATATACTACTAATACTAAACCTTTTATGATCTTTAGCATTGCTGGAGTCAATCTGAAATTTTGTGTTTCTACAGTGCAGTTCCAAAGTTTTCTTTATGCTTGGATTAATATTCCAACTAGAGTGTGATACTGATTACTTACATTAATCAACACTTAATTAGATAATGTATGTAAAGCGCTTTGAATAGGAAAATCACTATACAAGTACTAAGTATTGTTAATTGCAGCTGGGCAAATATTGCAAAAATAAAATAAGATCCATGTATATTCATTTCCATTTTTATATTTCAGCTGTACTTCAATCCTGTTTGTATTTATTTTCTGCCAATATTTTAGCAAGGGAGCTTACTGGTAGCAATAGTCATCAAGACAACACATGTTAAGCATAATATTTACAGAAAGCCAATTTTAGATTTGTAATCATGAGGATTTGTTAGAGAAACCTAATTCCAAGGGCTAGGTTCTGACTTGGACTCCATATTTGCACAGAGCAGTAAAAGGAAGTAAGAATCTCCCCTTTATACCTCTATGTCGGTTACCTGGACCTAGTGCTTGGGCACGCAAGAATAAATGGGGATACATTCCTTCTCCTTCCTTCCCCAGTGTAAGTGGGTAGGAAATGGATGGAGCCATGAATCCATATTCCCTGCTCACTGGCCAGTGCACCTGAGCCAGCACAGCATGAAAGTATACCAATTTGTTGCTGCTCTATACCCACAGTAAATCTCTAACCCTCATGAGCAAGGGGGAAGAGATGGTGGAATTATGCTTTCCAGAGATATGTCTGCTTTACCCTGCATCCCCCAAGCTACTCCTGACGCGGTGCTGCTTCTGCCCCACCTCATGTTCAGAGCTCTGTCTAAAATCAAAACCTAGCCCTAAGAGTTACAATACGGGATACAGAACACTGGATATCATGCAACCTCTGTGTACAATCAATGCAGCCTGAATTTCAAATACCGAATTCTTACGATGAAGTCTCCCCTGATAGGTTACAGACCAACAATTATTTACAGAAATTACTGAGTGAATAAATCTGAGTCACAAAAAATTCAAATAATTCACATTCAGAAAAGGAAGTGAAACTTGTTTAATTAATTATTGGCCCAAGCCTACTGATATTTTTTAAAATAGTTTTTTTAAGGGTATGGATTTAGAGAAATACATTCTGATTTGAAATTACTCAAAAATATTGTAGGCAGTGGCAGGGTTGCCAAGCGGCAGGGGAAAAAATAAAAGGCAATTGGCGGCGATTCGGTGGCAGCTCAATCAATAGCGGATGGAGTGCCGCCCCTTTGTATTGGTTGCCCCAAGCACCTGCTTCCTTAGCTGGTGCCTGGAGCCGGCCCTGACCAGTGGAAAAGTCTTGTCACTTTTACATGTATATTTATGTTGGATTTTTTTGCAGAGACTTCCAACTTCATAATGGCAGTACACGTAACAAAGACAGGGCCTGATACTCCTTAGAGATGAATGGCAAGACTCCTTCTGACTTGTGAGGTCCTGATCCAACAATCCAGTCCAACAAAACATTTAAGCAAGCATCTGAGTAGTCCACAGTTTTTATAGGGACAGTCCAGATATTCAGGGCTTTGTCTTATATAGGCATATATTACACCCCACCTCCTGTCCCAATTTATCACCCTTGCTGTCTGGTCACCCTAGTGCATGTATTTGTGATTTGCTGGTTGGGGGGCCATACTTCACTATACCTAGTCAGAGTTTCTTCATCAGTGAAGAAAATATGCTAGGTCTCATCCTGGAGCTACCTATCTAGAGAGCCCAATCTAGCAATGTACTGAACATCTCAATTCCCTTTGACCTCACTGGGAGTTGAAAATGTTCAGAGTCTTGCTGGATGCAAGCCACAGGCAGAAAGAACACTGGGATTTTGTAGTTCGATTATTTAAGGGTAAGATATGAATCAATTAGAAGGAATATAATTATATGTATATATTTCTTTACTTTTCAGTGTAAAGAACTAAAGGTATGCTCTGTAATGTTTTCATATGGGTAAATTTCAAAACTGTGGATATGGAAAATATTGACAACAAAATCTTTGATTTTGTTGGGGAATCTGTATTTAGTCATGCTTTAGTGAAACTCTAGCTCAAAGGTTGAAATTCACCCCTGAGCAGAATGTTACCTATGTAACATTTAAGCTCTATTTTCCTATGGGTATTCCTGTGATTAGAGCACTGGCCTAGGCACTGGGAGATCTCAGTTCAAGTCACTGCTTTACTAAAGACTTCCTTTGTAACCTTCGGCAAGTCGCTTAGCTTCTCTTTATTTTAGTTCCCCATCTGTAAAACAGGGATAATAGCACTTTTCTGTCTCACAGGGGTGTTGTGAGGATTGATACATTAAAGATTGCAAGGCACTCAGATACGATGTATTTGGGGCCATATAAGTACCTAAGATAGAGAGAGATTTTGACAGCTTCACTAGGATTGCAGGGGTGTTGTGCAGTTCCTCTACTCACCACTATTACAACAGGACTATTATGAAAAGGTGTCATTTTTTAGCACAATTTATTTTCATCGTGAAAACATCCAATGGTTTCTGATTTTTAATATTGCTATATTCATTCCTGTTAAAAAGAAGCTAATCAACCCTAAGACCAAATAGGAGTTCAAAAGAAATGTATTACATTCAGAATAACATATTAAAAAGCCTACAGGACTGAGATGGAGTTGTCATGAGTGGAGCTAGACAACAAATTCATTTCATCCTATATGAGGATGAGGATTTTCACCTAGGAACTACCAGGGTTACCTGGTGAAATACAAGACTAACCCTTTTCTCTCCCACCTTATCAAGCAGGCATATAGGGAAAATGACATTTTGCAACCTATCTCATACTGATAGAGCTGGGCATCATCTGTTGATTCAAACTTTCCAAAACGGAATAGAATAGAGCAATTCTTTTTTCTGGACTTTTAGTTTATGATTTTTTTTAATCTTTTGACTTTTCATTCCAATTCATATAGGAAACATTTTCAAAATCTTGAAAAATTTAATAACATGTGAAAACTGTTTTCCACTCAACTCTAGAGTAAAACTATCCACTTTGTTAAAATAATCTTTGATTCCATCCTATAATTTTTTTAATTGCTTTCATCACCATCTCAGGAACAATATTCCCCTAAACACTGCAGCGCTTGAGACTTTTCTGTGAAGAAATCTGGTTATTCCTTAGCAAATCACATCCACTGAATGAGGAGAATTATACAATCCCTTTGCTGAGAAATCATTCTTTTCTTTAACATAGGAAGCAGTTTTTGTTAGGCCAGACATCTGTATCATTTAACCATTGTTTCACACATTTATCATGGAAGCCGGTTTTGAGAACAAGCTAGAAAGGATAGTTTAAAGGTTACTAACAATTAAAGGACAATCTATATGATCATAGAATCATAGAAATGCCCACATATGAATAATGCTCATGTGCTAGTCTTGTCTTTTTACTGCACTGTACTTACTTGGATCTCTATAGTTTATTTGAGGCATAGATATATCTGAATAGGCTAGATCCTCAGCCTAGTGTACACAGGAGTCTCACTGGAGCTAAGCCAATTTATACCAGCTGAAGATTTACCCTGATATGTACAACCCAAACCCTTTCCTCTAACACATTCTACTGGAGAAAAGGCAGATGTATAGGCAAAGCTCAGCATCATTTCTGGGATCTGACAATGACTGGGGTGGACGGGAAGTCATAAATAGTAGTTTCATAGACACCATAGTGACTGAGGCATTAGAAAGAGACAGGAAAGTAGAATAACAGTTAAAAAATGCCTTTTGGAATTGGAAATTATTCCAGTGGCTTCCCCGTCCACTGTGGAAATTGTTACCTTAAAGCTCTAAAGAGATGCGATTTATGAAAGGAAAGCTGCATTATTCCTTAACTACTTTACAAATACTCAGCAAAATCCTGTATCCCTGCTCCTGAAGTCGACATGGTTTTTGCCTGACTGAGGTTTACAGGATTAGGCTCATTGACAAGCCAGCTGCACATTGCAAATCGAGGCAGCGAATTCTGGATTTGCAGCAACAGTTAGTTTGCTCTTACATTAGCCTGCCTTTCCCACTCATTCAGCTTCTTTTGTGTTATAAGTTCAAGTACAATGTAATGAGTGAAATCAGTATCAGATTTCCCAGTGCACTTACAGTTCCTGGCCGCGGATATGGTACACGTCCTTGGTAAGGCACCCATTGATAGTTGGGACCATCTCTGTGAGCATATGGACCAAGGAACACCCTCCTTACATCTGTCATGCTGTACATACAAACTGCTGACCCCTTGAAGATGTTGCTAAAAATGGGGCAGAGGGAAGAAAAATAAGTCAGTTTCTTTAAATGATTTGTCAATTTAATCACAGGAGAATGGTGGGATTAAAGGCTCTTTAATTAATTACATGTATTGATTTTCCAAACTCTGAACGGCTGTCTCAGCAAACCCAAACGCAGTCCTTAGAAAGTTCAGTTTAACTGAAACAAATCTCTCAGATGTTTTTCTAAACTGAATGGCTGCTGGCTACTACTTAAAACATATTGTTTATATACATCCAGATCTGATTTCAGTGGGACTTTTCTTAGAGTAGGTACTACTACTATATGAGTAATACTTAGGATGGTTGAATCTGGCTCTTCATAGATAATAAGTGTTTTTCAGTTTTCCATCCCTGATTTTGAAACTGAACTGCTTCATAAAGAAGGCAGGGGTGGAAATCTATTTGTAATAGCTGTTATTCTGCAAATGCAATTTATTGGTATAAATATGAAATAAAGAGGTCTCACGTGTTTTTCATAATGGTGACCTTCATGCAAAAGGGTTTGTAACCCATTACTCATCCTGTAGCCAACTAATCACTTTATATACCCTTGCTAATAGTCAGCATATTTGTTTTAGTTTTGCCCTTTCTCTCTCTCCCTCACTTCCCCCTTTTGACAACACACACTGAAACTGCACTGCTGTGCATTTCCTTGGGGTTTCTACAAGGATAGTAGATGCCACATGAGCCTCATTCTTCTGGATTATGTGATGCCTAGAAACTTACATTTAAAAACATATGCCTCCCTCCATGGTTATAGGTGGCTTTTCCCTCAGAGGCAAATTCAGTCCTTCATGAGACAAAAGCCTGGGGACAATCCCATCCTTGGTGTAAGCCCATTTGAGGGAAGTTCTATGGACTGTGTTATGCATGAGATCAGACTAGATGACCACAGTGATCTATTCTAGCCTTAGAATCTATGAGCCTATGAAGCCAATGGATTTACACCAAGGATGTACTGGACTCAGTTGAAGAGTGGTGGAAAAAATCTTCGCTGTTTTTTCTGAAAAAGCTTATTGATTATCCAGAAGTTTTCCAAAATTCTAAAATTTGCTGATTTTTTTTTTTAAATTCTTCCTGCATTACTTTACCAGCTCTATCTGGCAAGGGATTTGACATTTCACCCTCCATCTTTAAAGCCAATTTTTCAGCAGGAAGAGGCTGAGAAACTGACACATTCTTTCAAACTTGCGTCAGGGCAATGATGTACATTGCTCATAAGAAAAGAAATTTAATTCATTACTTCTAACTTACATTGCCTTCGTGCAGTTCAAAGGTTAAGAAAACGCTGTGTTTCTTAAGAACATTTTAACAAAGACAACTCTTTAAAGCAACCAGCTACACAATTTTCCATACAAGTAAAATGATATATTCTGTACCTGGAAGTTGTAAACACTCCATAGACTATTGGATTTTTGGGGTCTTTTGAGTTCATTAGAAACACATCCTCTGTAACAAAAACAACAAAAAAGAAAAAAAGAAAACACATAGTCATTTCAGTAATGAAAATACCAGAAAATGATTCTGCATTCAAAGCCATTGTGGCTACTTACGTAGTTCATCAAAATGAGTATCAATGCCATTGGGCCCTGGCACAGAACAAATCAGGCGTGCTTTAAGGAAAGTTGTCCATTTATTAACAAGGCTTCTGTGTCCACCAAAGTCATTCTAACAGGAGAAATACTGTATGTTAATACATGATGATATTCCTGTTTGAAATGGGAATTGATATGAAAAAACTGACGGAACAGTGCGCTAAATATAACATCATAATCCACAGTTTTACATATTGTCCTTTTTATTGTTTAGGAAATTATAAAATCCCCCTCATTTTTCAAATATTTCAATATTGAATCTATTTAAATTTGTCATGGTCATTACTATGAATTTAATATCATTTTCAGAAGAACTTATTCCTAGAAAACCTTAAATTAGAAAGAAAGAAAGAAAGAAAGAAAGAAAGAAAGAAAGAAAGTAATTGGACAGATTGACAGAGTATTTTGCTTCTGTGCAAGCTTACATGTTGCCAAGACTCAATAAAGTTTAAACAGCTCATTATTCTTTACTGAATATCAACAAAGTAGCCCCACAAGTTGTACAAGATCAAAGTATAAAAGGTGGTAGGGTGGGAGAATCAGATGTTTAATAGCAGGGCTGACAGTAGGAGCAGATCAACGTCTCCATAAGGGTGGGGCTATAATTTTCCAAGCTGCTATCTCGTTTTTCAGAGATGGTGACTTGGAGTCCTGCCTAAAGGCATAATGTGAAATTCTACTCTAAACATTATTTTTACCAAAGCTATCAAAATTCATGGTGATCACTTAATTCATAGATATTTTCTCAAGGTCCCTCAGGAAAATATTTGAGACCCTTGACACTGTTCATTTATAAAACTTAGCCTAACCAATTATTTTCATTTTCATATGCCTTTGCCTTTAGAAGTTCTACCTGGAATGGGAACTTTAGATGTTAAAAATAACTCAAGAAAGAAAATGTCTACAGAACATCTGGTCCACCTGGAAGCAGGAAGTACCATATTTCTTGCACAAGACTCTATTTCTCTGAGCCACATTTTGAAAACTCAGGAGGTTCTGATCATTTTTGGATGATGCATTGTAAATTTGGGGTGCTACTCCAAACAGAACAGAACTGACTATTGTACCTCTTTGATGTTTTCCCTTGACTATTGGTCATTCTGGAAGACCTCGGCATCACTACATTGCCAATGTTACCATAGACTAATGTACAGCCAAGAAAGAGTAGTTGCTAATATCACTTTTATAGCTTTAACTGAGGGCATTAATTCTTATAAAATTAAGTCACCATATTACCTTGCAGATCTGCCCTATTCTGGCATGGGTGGCTTTTCCAGAGTGCTCTCCATCAATTGCATTTTCACGGAAGAAGAAATAGATTTTGTCATCTTCTGGGTTATCACTCTCTGGTATTAGGTGGGCACTAACAAACCTAGGATCTGAGAAAAAAATGCCAATGTACATGTTACTACATAGCAAGTAAAATCTGTTGCCTCATTTACATGAAAGGATTCTTCCATTCTGACTTGCACACATGAACTAACCCTTTCATCAAATAAGCAAATTTTCAACTTTTCTTCCTGGTGCTCCCACCCAAAGGAAATCCCTATCACAACTTGTTTCTGCTCTTGGAACCTGGTACTAGAACAATACACACACATTCCCAACACTGCACATCAGCACACATCTATAGTTTATTTATCCAGAATATAGCAGCGCTCGCTATTCATACTCTGTAGTGATTCAGGAAAGCATATGAAGTAATATAATACATATGAAATTGGTCTTTTAACTGTAGTGTAACATTACAGCATAGCTTCCTAATTCCATGCATGGATTGTTGAGAGTTTCTTTCACATTCAGTCTTGCCTACTTCTCATTTCCTTGTTTATTTTGACTTTCTATACAGCAGAAATGAAAACTGCACAGGAAAGCTACAGCAGAGGAAGAAGATGGTTTGTCCAGTAGCTAGGGTGTTTGGCTGAGAATTGGGAGAGCTGTGTTCAAATCCCTGAACTGCCATATACGTCCTCTGTGACCTTAATCAAGTCACTTAACCTCTCTGTGTCTTAGTCCCCCATGTATAAAATGTAAAGGTGCTGTGAAGATAAATACACTAAAGATTGGGAGGCCCTAAGCTTTTGTAGTAATAGGAACTATAGACAGAACACTCAAGAACAGGTTAAAAATCATTCTATAAAACATTTTTTGGATGAAAAATGGCCATTTTGTTTGAAATTTTCCATTGCTTTTCAACTACTATAACCAAAAACAAAACAATGTTTTGAAAACCATTTTTTAATGGAAAAACAAAATCCATTTAGGTGGGAAAGATTTTTTAAATGAGTTTTTCATTTTTAAAGAAAAGTTTAATGAAAAATACCATTTTCTGATCAGCTCTATTGACATCATTATTCAGAGTACAAATTCCCCTTCCACACAAATGTCTATATCTAGACAGTGATATTGTAGATATATAAAGCCTCAAGAGAGATTGATAAAACAAACAGAAAACAGCGGGCAAAGAAATTAGGACATATACTCAGTTGGTGTAAATCAGCATAGCTCCATTGACTTCAATGAGGCTGTGCCAATTTACACCAGAGGAAGATCTGGCCCAATATTGCATTTTTCATTCAAGTATTTCCGTTGGCCTCTTTGACTAGGGAAAAGGAGGCAAATCAAACAGAATTACCAAGCTGCTGTTCTTCCTTCGGCATTTTACATCCTGCTGGGATAATTCAGTGTGAACTATATTTAACTATTCAAAGAGTCCTGTCCCTATGTCAAATTATAAGCCGTTCTAGTATCATGTATTAAAGTGTCATCTTAACACATCATCACATACTTTGGGAGGTAATGAGCCAGATTGTGCTATGCTGAGGATCTGGCTTATTAAAACCACTACTTTATTTACTAAGGATCCTCCTCAGTTTATATGCTAACTAACTGTATACACTACGTGTGATGAGCATTGTATCATCAACTAATAGCACTTCTCATATAAGCAGATGTTTGACATTGCTTGTAGACATGCAAGGTTGAAGAGTTTTCCATCTGATCTTGTATGGAGATGTCCACCCTTGGTGCTAGATGAGAAAGCATGATGACGCAGCAAAGAAAAAAATAAACTGAAGAGTGTTGGTGCCAAAACACATCCTGGTCCGACATCACTGTGAATTTCAAAGCTGTCAGATTGATCACCATCATATTGAACTATAGCCTTCATGCCATTATGGAAGGATTGAATCAGACTGAGGAGGATTGGGAGGCAACCAGTTCTCTCTAGCAATTGAAAAAGATCCTTTCTGTTAACCAGGTCAAAAGCTTTTGTAAGATCTAAGAAGGCCATGTATAGAGGTTATCCTTATTCTTGACACTTTTCTTGCAATTGCTTTTGTGCAAAAATCATGTCGATGGTAGATCTACTAGCACAGAAGCCCCACTGGCTCTCTGGATATGCACATTCAGCAAGAAGTTGCAGTCTTTTAAAAATTACCCTTGTAAATGCTTTGCCAGTAACACTCAGGAGATGGATTCCTCTGTAGTTAAAATCACTCCAATCTTCTTTGTTTTTATACAGCATTATGAAGTTGACATCCTTCATGTTTTGTGGTACCCCCCTTCTCTCCAGCAGGCAAGCAAGACATTGTGCAGATATTTAAGCACTACTTGTCCTTTTTTCAGTACTTCAGCTGGAATTCCATCTCTTTCTGCAGCCTTTCCTGGTGCTAGAAAGTGGTTTGTCTTTATAGATGATTCTATACCAAGCTCTTTGATGGCCTAGAGCCCCGAGGTCACAATTAGCACTATTTCAGAAACAGTGGACTCACATGAATAGAGTTTGTGATAGTGTTCCAACCAGTGTTGCATTTGTTTGCTTCTGTCAATGATGATGTCTCCATTAAGATATTTGAGTGGGATAATCTTCTTAGATGAAGGACCTATTGCTTTCTTAATTGCATTAATCAGACCTCTTAGATCTCCATTCTCAAAGGACATTTGTATCTTCAGCACAGATCAAGCCAGTATAATTGGCCACTCTGAGGTTAGCATATGTCTCAGGAGAGGGGTGAATGTTGTGATGGAAATCTGAGGTGCATTTTGTTTCAATAACTGGAAATATTGCTTCAGGGTATGTTGCAAACCAGTTGTTATAGTGTGTTCACTAAAAGCAAATGTTTCAGCTATATGGATATTCTGAATGTCTTCTATGCTGCATCAGCATTCAGGGTAGGTGCAATCGCTTCCCTAAGATTGGTACTAAACACCTTCCTTGGTCTTTTGTGTTATTGATGTTAATGTGTGGGCAATAGTTCTGTTTGGTATGATGGCATTTCCTTAATGAAAGCCTTATTTTGCAGCATCCACTGTGAAAATTGCAAGTATGGAGAGCAACCTTTAGGTGTTTTCTACAGGTGACAATTAAATCTAGTTGGTGCTAGTTTCCAGATCAGGGGTGTCTTCAGGAGACCTTCTGGTAATGCATGTGTTGGTAATACACAGTCGCTGGTGGGTTAAGAGCTTAGTCTTTGACCATTGTTGTTAATTTTTCCCACTCCATGGTGACCAGTGATTAGCAACCACATCTCATGATGTGAGCTGACTTTAGCATTGAAGTCTCTCAGTAGATAGAGTTGCTTGCCTGGTGGTAGTTTGCTGATGATACAGTCGAGTTTCTGATAGAACAAATCCTTCTCTACAGAGGTGAAGAAAAGTGTTGTGACATATGTACTAATGATGTTGGTAAATCCACCTGTGGTAGATATTTTTACTAATATGATTCATTCTGATGTTGCAATGGGACATTCAACTAGAGATGTGAATGAATTTTTGACTGCAAAACCCACCCTGTCCTCACAACGATCTTGTTTGCTTTCTTCATGCCAAAAGAAGCAACATTGCATCTGGACTAAATTTGTAATTTAGTCCAGTCTCAGAGAGAGAGAGGCTATGTCAATGTCAAGTTTCTCCGGCTCTCTGTTGATGATGGCAGCCTTCCTACAGTCATTGACCTCCTCAAGGTTGTTTGACATACCAGTGTGTGTTGTCCTCATATTCCAACAAGCAAGTTTGAAGAGGGAGACCATTAAACCCAAATCTTTAGTGTATACATCTATGCAGAAAAAAAATAAGGAGGCAGAGGTTGAGCTTAGGATCACAGCCCCCCTCTTCGTGGTATTATCCAGGCCCAAAGACTCAGAAGACCAAGATGTTTAGAAGCCAGCACAGTTGCAGGAGATGCTGGAAGGCAGAGCTGAATTGCAATGCCAACCACCTGACGCTTTCTCCACAATGGGTTTAGTTCAGGGTTGTCTCCCCTAGTCTTTGCTCAACCAAGAGCTAGCGGCAGGGCAGCAGTGCCAGCTGGAATTACTCCTTTGTGGATATTATTTTTCATTCCAATGGGTATCTGGCACACCCCTCTCACCACTCAGTGGCGTGATTCCCAGTTTAGTCACTGAACGCCCAACTTGTGGCATGTTGGACAGGATTATGTGATACCAGTAGCAGCCACGCACACTTGACCTGATCTGAGGAGCTTCAGCAACTTTGCAATAGCCTTGCCCTAGCTTGTGATGAATGTCTTGCCTGATGTCTGGAGCCTATTGCTCAAGAACTCTTGGGGGCCTGACTTTGCCCAAATCCAGTCCTTTGAGGCCATGGTGATCCAGCCAGATAGTCACTGTTGACCAACTTAGCACTCTCTGCCTGGGTTGCAATTCTGTCTTTCTCTTCTTTTGGGGATGATGCCTAAAAGTCAGGCACTTCATATACCCTGTTTTTCTACTAGTGCACTCATGCAGCAAAAGGAAGTATGTTCCCCAGCATATCTGTTCAGCTGTTGACACTAGGGATATAGCAGCAAAGAGTCCTGTGGCACCTTATAGACTAACAGTCGTATTGGAGCATGAGCTTTCGTGGGTGAATACCCACTTCGTCGGATGCATCAGGGTATTCACCCACGAAAGCTCATGCTCCAATACGTCTGTTAGTCTATAAGGTGCCACAGGACTTTTGGTGCTTTTACAGATCCAGACTAACATGGCTACCCCTCTGATACTAGGGATATAGCATCACCCTGAAAATTTTAGCTAGTTCAGTAACTTATCTTATTGTCAAGAGTTCCCGAGGGAGAATTTAAGATAATTCAGGCAGCATTGACATACTTCATATGTTCAGCACAGACACATAAGGAAGTTGATGACATATAAAAGAGAGGCTATGCTGGAATGAGCTAAAAGAACTTCTGTTGTATGGGAAGTTGTATGCAGGAGCCGAAAAGAGTAGAACCCATGGTAGTACTCTGCAAGCTATTATCGATGGATATGACTACCTCAGATTGCCATGTACAAATTACTGGAGTCTATGTGATCCCAAAATGTGTCTATAACTATTAAGAAACACATGGTTCTTCTAATAATATAAGCAGTCACAA